GAGCCCTCCTTTATGTGATGACAGACGCACCTCGACTTGTGCTCATTGAAGATGAGAGAATCTAAAAAATGTGACACGAGAAGTAAAGCCTCAAGAGTGTGGAAACAATTCAGTCCAGTGTGGTCCCGTTGGGTACGGTAAATCCTGATCTCGCGTTACCAGCCAAACGTACGCTTATTTGGTAAACGGAGCGTAAGCCGGAAGGCGATAGCAACACGACACTGTTCATGTGTGCGGTGAGTGATATCATCGTTATTATTTTTAGTATTTTGTCGAATTTTTATTCTGCAAAAAAGTTTTCACATTTGCTCATTTAAAAAAAAAAAAACTTTTCTCGACTCATTTTGTAAACATTTATTTGAAGTCTTTTGTGGTTATGTAGTCTCGTTTCCTGTCAGTAAACTTGAATAAGCTCCGCCCACTCAGATGGAGGCCACACCCCATTCTCCCGCACATTGCTAGGTGATGACTTCCAGTCCCAGCTCCTCACGGGGATGTTCCAGGTGGCGCCGTAGTTCGCCGTCACATAGTCGAGTGTTTCACACGGAACACGAACTTTGAGCTCCAGAAGCTCCGCCCAGCAGAGCGAGAAACGAGGGAAGACGTACCTGACAGGTGAGACACAAGAGGTCATTAATCACCTGTAATTAACTTGTCATGAACATCCAGCCAATTTATTCTACTGGGAATTTCATTGATATTAAAAAGCCATGCCTTTATTGTGAAAATACTTTTAAGTAACACACTTGAACTTCCTGCCGCTCTTTGCCTGCGTCCCTCCATTCCAGACGATGTCTCCGTCCTCGTAGAAAAAAAAAATGTCCAGTTTGACGTCTTCACTAAGAAAAGAAAGTTCCAGACTGTCTTCTACCTGCATGTCAAAATAAAACACCAGCCTTCAGAATAAGACTCGCCTTCAAAATAAAACACAGCTATAAAACACAATACATACGTTCAAAATAAAGCCACATTTTTCAACATAAAAGCATAGATGAGTTTTGAAAGTAAAGTTCTAAAATGCTGATGAAAACTTTTACTCTCTTAAATATTTAAAGTAAACAGGAAGTGAAGTTTGTACTTTTCCAAACTTGTGTTTGAGGGACAGGCCAGCATCCCTGAACGCTGCGATGATGTCGCTTCTAAAATCCACAATGAAAATCCCGATATCAACATCTCGACTGTACGAGATGACGCTGCACTGCCTAAACCAGCCTGCAGGGGGAGACACATCCAACAACAACAGAGACACGTTAGCATGTTACATGTTCATGCACTCTTCTCTTAGCATGTTAGCATGTTAGCATTTTACCCAGACATGTGCCGCTGCTGAGCCAGAACGGGATGTCGAGCTTCGTGAGGATTTGAGCGACCCGGTGAAGCAACGTCTTCACTTTCCTCCTAAAATCCAGCGACTGTGGAGACGAGTCCTCCGGGTAGAGCTACATTCACAGAGTGCAGAGAGAGAGAGTAACATTAGGAGATTTAAAGTAAACAGGAGGAAGGTGAGAGGACATTCAGCTTTATGTTGGGGAAGTTAAAATAAGATCTTTATAGCACCATGAGCCAGTTTGTTCTTTTTCATTTGGAGCTGTTTTAAAGTCTCTTTTCTTCTGCTGGCTTTCATCTTAAATAAACTGAAGGTTTAATATCATTCCATCAGTGTTGACCTGCAGTATTATAATTCTGATGACTTCATTCATCGTGCGTGTGTACACGTGGGACTTTAAATAATCAGACGTGCAGGTATGTGATCCATTCCACACACACACTCGTTTACTTTTTATTCATAGAGATTTTTATTTTATTTTTTTATTTATTAAGATAAAATCTAGTTTTAATCATTTAATACCCTTCCTGTTACATTCCCCTTCACAATAAGAGTTTGTATCCAGTCTTACTTGCAGGAAGTTGCGAGCGTCATGGTAACGACACTCCAGGAAATGGGCGTGACGCAGTTCATACAGAAAGCGGGAAACGTTTTGTGGGACTCGAACGTCGAGGCCATCCAGGACAGTCAGTACCAGCTCCTGCCTGCAGGGGGCGACACAGGAAACATTAGATCCAGTTTAATCAGCTGTTTAATTAACCTCATCTCAAGCTGGCTGATTTGTTGTTGTTTATCAGCTGGTTGATTTGTTGTTGTTTACTCATTATCAACCAGCTGATGGTTAATTACCATGTATTTACTCGTCTCTCACGGTCTCACCTGTCCAGAGCTCCTGCGTGGCGCCCGTAGTCGAGCTGTCTGAATGGAGCGAAGCTTCGGTCGGTGTCAGCGCGGAGACGTAATGCCCCAAACCACATGTAGTTCCCGCTCCGCTCGTACAGGAACACTACCTGTATGTGACATCACCATGACGTCATAAACTGATGACATCACAATCTGTCTACGTGTTCTTGAGGTGTCGCTGGCTGATTTGGCCCCACCCACCTGAATGATGTAATCATGGAGGCGGAGCAGGAAGTGTAGGGGGATCTCTTCCCCTGATAGGGTGTCCAAACTGGCCAATCGTGGGTCCTTTCCTGTCAGTGTCAGCAGCTGGAAGCCTTTCTGCTCAGCAGCCAATAGGAAGCCAGGCTGACACACATCAAATAAAAACAGAAATATTTTGTATATTTTTCAGTGTTCAATTAAATGAAGTTGAGTAAAATAAAATAGACGTTTCACTTCAAAGAATCTGTGATTCATTTTTTTCTGCGGGGACCCTGAACACAACACACACTCACATCGTACTTCCACAGGTTGGCGTGCAGAGCGAATGATGTGATTGGCCGGCCAGTGCACAGGAAGCTGCAGTGTGGCTCCCGCACCAGCCGGTCACGCTGCCTCAAAGCATCCTGGGAAAGTAGCTTCAGGGCAGCGGTATCAGCAAGGAACAACGGCAGCCTAAAGCGCTGAGCTAACGCTAAAAACTTCTTCACCGTTAGCTGTAACCAGACAGAGCATGAGCGTTACCATGGAGACAACAGGAAGGAAAACAGGAAGGAAGTTTCAAAAATAAAAGAAATATACGTTTGGAGAGGAACAACAGCTATCTGGTGCCCTCTACAGGTATCCTCCAAGCTAACGACAGCTCTGCTGCTAACGCTTGTTTTGGCTTACCCATTGGACGTCAGTGGTGGTCAGGTGACCTGTTTGGCTCAGGATGTGAGGGCCAGGCTGAAGAAAAAGGCATGTTGGGAAATTTAAACACGTTGGACTTTATTCATTGATCATTTTAAACAAGAGAAAATGATAATGCTAAGAGCTTTGTAGCTAACAGCTGTGTTACATCCTGTTTATATCCCAGCTCTCTGATTGGTTATTTTCTTATCATTTCTTTCTACTGTATGTGACTCGTGTCTGTAGATCTGTATATATACGGATGATGCCTCCTAGTGTCAGTAGTTCTGTACTGAAACAATACTACAATGAATACGTAGCTGTATTAATAATGCACCTTTTCATATTATTCTTGATGGTCGTGCTAGCTTGATCCTCGCGGGCCCCCCCTTTTTGTTCCATTACCATTAGTTACCTTAGTGCTTAAGGTACCATAGTAACTGACTCAGAACCTTAGTTACCATAGTAACTGACTCAGAGCTTAAGGTACCATAGTAACTGACTCAGAGCCTTAGTTACCATAGTAACTGACTCAGTGCTTAAGGTACCATAGTAACTGACTCAGAGCCTTAGTTACCATAGTAACTGACTCAGAGCTTAAGTTACTAAAGTAACTGACTCAGATCTTGAGTTACCATAGTAACTGACTCAGTGCTTAAGGTACCATAGTAACTGACTCAGAACCTTAGTTACCATAGTAACTGACTCAGAGCTTAAGTTACTAAAGTAACTGACTCAGAACCTTAGTTACCATTGTAACTGACTCAGTGCTGTAGTTACCATAGTAATTGACTCAGTGCTTAAGGTACCATAGTAACTGACTCAGAACCTTAATTACCATAGTAACTGACTCAGTGCTTAAGTACCATAGTAACTGACTCAGTGCTTAAGGTACCATAGTAACTGACTCAGAACCTTAGTTACCATAGTAACTGACTCAGTGCTTAAGGTACCATAGTAACTGACTCAGAACCTTAGTTACCATAGTAACTACTCAGTGCTGTAGTTACCATAGTAATTGACTCAGATCTTGAGTTACCATTGTTGTTGTTAAACCCTGTTCAGATCGTTGTTGTCGTTCAGATTGTTTATTGTGGTTGTTTTGGTCTCTTCTTTCTCTTGCTTTAAAACATGTACCCCCCTCTTTGTCTGTGTTCACATTGTTTCCTATTTTATTTATTTACACGTAAATATAATTAAACATCCACTCATTTCACGCTCACCTTGTTGACGTATTTCCGGTAATAATACAGCTGGAACAGCAGAAACACCGAGCTGCACGCGATCAGCAGCAATAACACGACCGTCCGGTTCACGCGAAGCATCCGGTAACTGTGCGCGTGTATCTGCTCCTCATGACGTCAGGATCAAACGTCTGTGCTCAGGATCAACAGCGGAAAAACCAACAAACCGCGCAAAACATCGAACTCACTGCGACTTCAAGTAGCGCCGCCATCTTGAAAATAAAGCAAACAACAAGACAGCCGACTGTTTCCTTCCGGGACCTTCACAATAAAATAATGGAAATAGATATGATTCTTATTCCATGGTGTTTTATCGGCTGCATCCTGGTTTAACCTATGTTTTATATATTCTATGTTTTATATATTCTATGTTTTATATATTCTGTTTTATATTCTATGTTTTATATATTCTGTTTTACATATTTACATACCTATTAAATGAATATAAACCTGATAGTTAATAAACAGCTGTGCTCATTTCTGTCTCTCATTCTGCTGTAGAGACACACACACTCAGAAGACTAGAAAAGCATTGTACAATCTCAAGTCCATTTACCAAAAAAAGACATCACATGCATGTAACCAACCCCCGCCCCCCCCCACACACACACACACACACACACACACACTTAGACACACACACACACACACACACACACACACACACACACACACACACACACACTCAAGATGGCGGACCGCATCAGCAGCAGTTTCTTCACAACAAAAAGGCCGAGTTAAAACTTCTGCCGGACTTTGATCAACTTTTCTCGCCCTGACCGGAGACATGAGCGGCCTCCGCCGCCTCTGACGGCCCGCTGATCGACGGTGTGTCCCAGCAGTGATGTTCGTCTGAAGCGAAACTCTGAACGTTTTCAAACCGGGCAGGTAAGAACGGCCGCGTTAGCTTAGCTCAATGCTAACAGTTTGTTATTGAAGGATGTCGGTGTTTGGACAGACTGCTGACGGTAACCGGGTTTAACGGGAACTGAATGCTCAGCAGAGTTTGGGTTAGACCGTCAGACTGCGTTTATTATCGGATTATTTGTGGAAAAAGACGGTTAAAGAGCGGCAGAGTTAGCCGGACTGTGATGTTGATGTTTAGCTAGCTAACAGAGGAGCTGTAATCTACCGCAGTACTACAGGTGTTAATACTGTAAACTCCTCCAGTACTACAGGTGTTAATACTGTAAACTCCTCCAGTACTACAGGTGTTAATACTGTAGACTCCTCCAGTACTACAGGTGTTAATACTGTACGCTCCTCCAGTACTACAGGTGTTAATACTGTACGCTCCTCCAGTACTACAGGTGTTAATACTGTACACTCCTCCAGTACTACAGGTGTTAATACTGTACTCCTCCAGTACTACAGTGTTAATACTGTAGACTCCTCCAGTACTACAGGTGTTAATACTGTAGACTCCTCCAGTACTACAGGTGTTAATACTGTACGCTCCTCCAGTACTACATGTGTTAATACTGTAGACTCCTCCAGTACTACAGGTGTTAATACTGTAAACTCCTCCAGTACTACAGGTGTTAATACTGTACGCTCCTCCAGTACTACATGTGTTAATACTGTAGACTCCTCCAGTACTACAGGTGTTAATACTGTAGACTCCTCCAGTACTACAGGTGTTAATACTGTAAACTCCTCCAGTACTACATGTTAATACTGTACGCTCCTCCAGTACTACAGGTTTAATACTGTACGCTCCTCCAGTACTACAGTGTTAATACTGTACGCTCCTCCAGTACTACATGTGTTAATACTGTAGACTCCTCCAGTACTACAGGTGTTAATACTGTACGCTCCTCCAGTACTACAGGTGTTAATACTGTACGCTCCTCCAGTACTACAGGTGTTAATACTGTACACTCCTCCAGTACTACAGGTGTTAATACTGTACACTCCTCCAGTACTACAGGTGTTAATACTGTACACTCCTCCAGTACTACAGGTGTTAATACTGTACACTCCTCCAGTACTACAGGTGTTAATACTGTAACTCCTCCAGTACTACAGGTGTTAATACTGTAAACTCCTCCAGTACTACAGGTGTTAATACTGTAAACTCCTCCAGTACTACAGGTGTTAATACTGTAGACTCCTCCAGTACTACAGGTGTTAATACTGTACGCTCCTCCAGTACTACAGGTGTTAATGCTGTAGACTCCTCCAGTACTACAGGTACTAATACTGTAAACTCCTCCAGTACTACTGTAAACTCCTCCAGTACTACAGGTACTTATACTGTAAACTACTCCAGTACTACAGTTAATAATACTGTAAACTACTCCAGTACTACTACTGTAAACTCCTCCATTACTACAGGTACTAATACTGTAAACCACTCCAGCACTACAGTTAATAATACTGTAAACTACTCCAGTACTACAGGTACTAATACTGTAAACTACTCCAGTACAACAGGTAATAATACTGTAAAGTAATAGGTACTAATACTGTGAAATCCTCCAGTACTACAGGTACTACTGCTGTAAACTCCTCCAGTACTACAGGTACTAATACTGTAAACTACTCCAGTACTACAGGTAATAATACTGTAAACTCCTCCAGTATTACAGGTGTTAATACTGTAAACTAATAGGTACTAATACTGTAAACTACTCCAGTACTACAGGTACTAATACTGTAAACTACTCCAGTACTACTACTGTAAACTACTCCAGTACTACTACTGTAAACTCCTCCAGTACTACAGGTACTAATACTGTAAACTCCTCCAGTACTACAGGTACTTATACTGTAAAATACTACAGTTAATAATACTGTAAACTACTCCAGTACTACAGGTAATAATACTGTAAACTCCTCCAGTACTACATGTGTTAATACTGTAAACTACTCCAGCACTACAGTTAATAATACTGTAAACTACTCCAGTACTACAGGTAATAATACTGTAAACTCCTCCAGTACTACAGGTGTTAATACTGTAAACTAATAGGTACTAATACTGTAAACTCCTCCAGTACAACAGGTACTAATACTGTAAACTCCTCCAGTACTACAGGTACTAATACTGTAAACTCCTCCAGTACAACAGGTACTAATACTGTAAAGTCCTCCAGTACTACAGGTACTAATACTGTAAACTCCTCCAGTACTACAAGTACTAATACTGTAAACTCCTCCAGTACTACAGGTAATAATACTGTGAAGTCCTCCAGTACTACAGGTTCTAATACTGTAAACTACTCCAGTACTACAGTTAATAATACTGTAAACTACTCCAGTACTACAGGTACTAATACTGTAAACTCCTCCAGTACTACAGGTACTACTACTGTAAACTCCTCCAGTACTACAGGTAATAATACTGTAAAGTCCTCCAGTACTACAGGTACTAATACTGTAAACTCCTCCAGTACTACAGATAATAATACTGTAAAGTCCTCTAGTACTACAGGTACTAATACTGTAAATTACTCCAGTACTACAGGTACTACTGCTGTAAACTCCTCCAGTACTTCTACTGTAAACTCCTCCAGTATTACAGGTAATAATACTGTAAACTACTCCAGTACTACAGGTACTAATACTGTAAACGTCTCCAGCACTACAGGTGTTAATACTGTAAACTACTCCAGTACTACAGGTACTACTGCTGTAAACTTCTTAAGTACTACGACTGTAAACTCCTCCAGTATTACAGGTACTAATACTGTAAACTGCTCCAGTACTACAGGTACTGATACTGTAAACTACTCCAGTACTACAGGTAATAATACTGTAAACTACTCCAGTACTACAGGTACTACTTTTGTAAACTACTCCAGTACTGCTGCTGTAAACTCCTCCAGTACTATAGGTAATAATACTGTAAAGTCCTCCAATACTACAGGTACTACTGCTGTAAACTACTCCAGTACTACAGGTATTAATACTGTAAACTACTCCAGTACTACAGGTGCTACTACTAGAGAGAGAGCGATATATATCTTGTTAATCAGTAAATAGCGAGATTTACAGATGCATGAAGAGGAGTCCAATATTGATGTGTGTGTGTTAGTAACCCGGACAGTCTGCCTGCAGCAGCCACTGCAAAGCATCCTGGGAGCAGGAGGGGGAGGAAGAAGCAGCCCACCCCTCCTCCTCTCTCTCTCCCTCTCTCTCTCTGTCTCTGGCTCCTCATTGGCTGCTTGCTTGCCCAGCTGACTGCCTTCTGTCAGACGGAGAGAGAGAGAGAGAGAGAGAGAGAGGGAGGGTGATGGAGGCTTCAGCGATGGGGTGAGCTGCCATTTTCTCTTTCTTTATCCAGAATCTATTCTTCCTCTTTGCATCCTTCTTTTCTCTCTACTTTGATTCTGGGATGGATTTTCTAAAGCCAGGGGGAGGAGGGGAGGAGGAGAGGATGGGGTACAGATTAAGGATGGTTGCAGGATGATGATGGAGGAGGAGGAAGGAGGATGAGGGGGGTGTTGTGTTTTTCGTCTTTCATTGTCTATTGTTCCCTGTCGTGTTTTTCTTCTTGGCTGTTTAAAATTGTCATCAGTTTTCTGTGATGGAGAGCACAGGGGAAGGAGGAGGGGGGTGGTGATGGAGTGAGGAGAGGAGGTAGAGAAAATGGCCGACGGGTGATGCAGGGAGGAGACGGGGGGAGGAGATTAAAAAAAAAGGGAGAGAGGGGACACGGCTCAATGATGACAATTACTTATCAGAATGATGGATTAATGCTAAACACAGTCTGATACTGTGAGGTTCTGTAGTTTTGCGTGGTTTTGTAGTTCTGTGAGGTTCTGTGTGGTTTGGTAGTTCTGTGAGGTTCTGTATGGTTTTGTAGTTCTGAGGTTTTGTAATTCTGTGTAGTTCTGTGTGGTTTTGTAGTTCTGTGTGGTTTTGTAGTTCTCCGTGGTTTTGTAGTTCTGTGAGGTTTTGTAGTTCTGTGAGGTTCTGTAGTTCTGCATGGTTTTGTAGTTCTGTGAGGTTCTGTAGTTCTGCGTGGTTTTGTAGTTCTGTGAGGTTCTGTAGTTCTGTGTGGTTTGGTAGTTCTGTGAGGTTCTGTATGGTTTTGTAGTTCTGAGGTTTTGTAATTCTGTGTAGCTCTGTGTGGTTTTGTAGTTCTGTGTCGTTTTGTAGTTCTCCGTGGTTTTGTAGTTCTGCGTAGTTCTGTGAGGTTTCGTATTTCTGCGTAGTTCTGAGGTTTTGTAGTTCTGTAAGGTTTTATAGTTTTGTGTAGTTCTGTGAGGTTTTGAATTTCTGTGAGGTTTTGTAGTTCTGCAAGGTTTCGTATTTCTGCGTAGTTCTGTGTGGTTTTGTAGTTCTGTGTGATTCTTTAGTTCTGTTTTCCCGCAGTTGTACAAAACATGTGACAGAACGTAGAAATGGAACAAAAACATGTTTAAAAAGCGCTTCAAAGACTTTTTGACACAACTTTTCTTCCAGGCACATCTTTACGACCCACTGTCAACTGCTCACTGTAAGGTCCTGACCAGAGGTCGCGTTAACCGAATATTTTCGTTTTTGAAGGAATTTTTTGAACAATGACTGAAAAATCTGAAAGCTGTCTGTCATTCTCACACAGCACTGATATTAACCACATGTAAAGCACCTGCAGTACACCTCCCTGTCTAGTGGGTGGCAAGTGTGCATAATTAATGAGTTGTTGTTTTGTCCAGTAGGATATCTGACCTCACGTGCACGACATCGTTGACTAGCTGCTGGTTTGTTTTCATAGCATGGTTAAGCTAGCTGGTGTTCTTCAGCATCCTACAGTTCATGCACAAGCACACGTGTATACAACGTGGTCAGCCTTCAATCAGGAGAAACCCTGGAGTTTCTGTTTCTGACTAACATGACTCAGAATAAAACACAAAGTCGGTAAAGTAGCTGCCATGATCTCTGAGATGTTCTCTGATATGCGGACTCAACCGTGCATCCCTTTTATATTTCTCGAGTCCGCCTGTCTTGTAAACTGAGCACACTTTATGATCACATCAAGACATGCATGTGTTGTACTACAACGCTATGTACAAGAGGGAGGGAGAGGACCTCTCCATAATCAGAAGTCCTGCTCAGTCCTGACTTTTGTTGTTTTTATAACAAACTGCTGTGACCTCATGAGTTGGGTTTAAAGATGCAGTCAGCTGATGAATCATGTGACAGTCAGACAGTGTTTGAGACAGATACACACACACACACACACACACACATACACACACATACACACAAACAGTAATAAACAATTCTGTCACTGCTGGGACAGACAATACAGTTTAACCCATCTATAATATAAAAGGTGACTTTTATCTGAACTTCTTGATGGGTTAGTAACAGCTGCGTTACAGAGGAGAGACGGGATCAGCTGAGCCAGCGGGGAGAACAGCACTGTGTGTATGTGGAGCTCCAGCTGTGCCGTGCTTCCATAACGATTCCATAATGATGTAACACAATGTGTGAATTCACACAGTGGGACACAGATATTAAGTTGCTACCGAATCTATATGAATTTTCAAAGATCTGATAACGACTGAGCTTACTTACAGCACTTTTGCTAAAAAGCAGTCTGAAAGGGCTACAGATACTGAAATGATAAATCTGTTCAGTGCCATTATAACTACAGAGTAACTGCCTGATGGAGTTACTATGTTGTACAGTTACAGTGTAATACCTTATGTCTGACCTGGAGTCTTACCTGGTGTCCTTACTGAAGTCTTACCTGGTCTCCTTACTGAAGTCTTACCTGGTCTCCTTACTGAAGTCTTACCTGGTGTCCTTACTGAAGTCTTACCTGGTCTCCTTACTGAAGTCTTAGCTGTAGTCTTACCTGGTGTCCTTACTGAAGTCTTATCTGTTGTCCTTACTGAAGTCCTTAGTGGAGTACTTACTCTTAATCCTACCTACCCGTCAGCCTTTAGAATCGGCATCGCAGAGAGGGATCTCTCTGATTGGCTGTTGGGAGGTTTCATTTCTCTCCAGCTCTTGACACAGGTTCAGGAAAGCCCATTAAGCATGCCGCTGTAGTATCCATGCTTTCACCCATTAGTGCGGTTTCTCATTATTTGTCTCCTCCTCCTCTTTTCTTTTTCCACTAAAAGACCAAGAGCTGACAACGCCAGCGGCATCTTCAACTTTTTTATCAGACATTATTCTCCATTAGTAAGCGACCTATAATACGAGTGGTGAGCAACAGCAGTGTGAAAATTGTCTCCACGTATCATAACAACGGACTACCGCCCCCTGCTGGCATGGAAAGTTATTTCCTCTCATGATCAGAACGTACGTGGTGGTTGGCCGTTTTTGCGGTGTGTTCTAGTGCAACTTTTTGGCCATGCCACAGGCGGCTTGTATCGCCACTAGTTCTTTGCCATCTGCTTGGTGTGTCAAGGCCTTTACTGGATAACTTACCATAAATCTTATCTGTAGTCCTTACTGGAGGACTTACCATAAATCCAACATAATTCTGACCTGTAGTCCTTACTATAGGACTTACCATAAGTCCGACCTGTAGTCCTTACTGGAGGACTTACCATAAATCCAACATAATTCTGACCTGTAGTCCTTACGGGAGGACTTACCATAAGTCCATCCTGTAGTCCTCACTGGAGGACTTACCATAAGTCCGACCTGAAGAATAATAATCGGTTACAAAATTTTTTTAATCGATAATCGTTTTGTAGTCCAGATTTTTGTAAATGTTTCTTGTTGCATTGTGGGTTCTAGGATAGGCCTAATTCAAAACAGAAAAAAAGGAGCACGAGCGCAAAAAAAAAATAGATGACAAACAAAGCGCTGATAAAGGCTCTGTGCTGAAATGCGTCCGTTGTTGATCCGTACGCTGCTACCCTAACAAAAATATCCCTTTTAATTAACCCCCCTATGAATTCACAATGAAATATGCAATATGATCTACGAAAGTTCAGTTCAAATTGTCTTTTTAGTCCACAGAAAAAGAAGGACTTTCCCTTTGCGATTACCGCTTTACTCCGCTAAACCAATGACGTTTGATCATCAATGACAGAGCAGCATAACTAGATGTTTTCCTGTATTTTGGAATTTTAGATGATTATTCTTTTAATAACTACAAAACGGAACAACCTTATAGGGAGACAGAGCTCATAGCGGACGGACGAGCGAGATTGAGCGAGTGTGTCATTACGCACAGAGGAGAAAGATGTAACAGACAGACACTTAAATTGTTCACCTGTTCTATTGTAACTTCATTTACCAGAGTAAAGTGTGCTCTACACTGCAGACTGTAGTCTTTGTTAACAGAATGTTGCTGTCAAAACAGCTTCAACGTGCGATGAGTGCGCACTGATGTCTGCACGTCCGCTCGCCACACTCACTGCTCTTAATTATAGTGTCAAAACGGTCATAACACGTCTGTGAATTTTTATTTGAGGTTTGCTGTCTGTTGAAGTAAGAAATGTCATGCCTCTTACTAACAATTATTAAAATCCCGAAGATTCAAATTAATCAATAGATACAGTCGGCATCGTGTCATAGTTGGGGGCGGGGCCTCCCGTGGGGAAAAAGAACTACAAAATGATTACTCGAGTACTCGCTTTAACGATGTGAAGAGTAATCGATTAGAGAAAACTACTGAAGCCCCTCCTGAAGAACTTACCAGAAGTCTTAATTGCTGTCCAACCTCAAGTGGAGCCTGTAGTCCTTACCCTTGTAATACAGTTATATAGTTCTGCAGTCCTTCACAACTACAGGTTTGACGGTTGTGATTGGGTTTCTGCAGGTCAGCCACGGGTCAAACATGGCGGCAGCGTCGTATGACCAGCTGCTGAGACAGGTGGAGGTGTTAAAGATGGAGAATTCAAATCTGAGACAGGAGCTGCAGGACAACTCCAACCATCTGACCAAACTGGAGACTGAGGCGTCCAACATGAAGGTGAGTCCTCACACGTTACTAGCATGTTATACTAACACCAGTGTTTCCTCTACCATTATATTAGGGGGCCGGCCTGCGCCCCCAACAGCCCCACCCCCCCACCCCCCCTGAAGGTCAAGTAAAAACTTGGAAAAAAAAAATCTTTAAAAAAAAAAAATATATATATATATATTTATTTGTTTTAAAGATTTTCTTGGGGCTTTTTGTGCCTTTATTGTAAAGATAGGATAGTGGATAGAGTCGGATATCAGGGAAAGAAGTCATTTAAGGATACCTTTCCGATAGAAAAGGACAGCTGTCATTAAAAGTAGAACACCAAGATTCCTTCAAGTGTTTGTGTCGGCATGTTGGCTTGTCCCCACCCCCCCAAAGTTTTAAACCTAGGGGAAACACTGAACACCCTGACACATGTTACTTACATGTTATACATCCTAACACTGACACATGTTATACATACTAACCCTGACACATGTTATTAACATGTTATACATACTAACCCTGACACATGTTATTAACATGTTATACATACTAACCCTGACACATGTTATTAACATGTTATACAGTCACATTAATCTGGATGTGTAAAGTGTGTTGGAGCCCCAGGGGGCGTTGTGCTGCTGTTCGTCCACTTACTGAGTTCACTGTAGTCGTCTGTTTCTTAGGCTTTCTTTATTTTATATCTTGATAGTTTTCGAGATTTGCAGTTATTCATGTATTTCAATCTTTTCAGTTCATAGTGTTGTGAGTTGTTGTTTATACCCTCGTTGTTTCTTTCTATTGTCCTGTCCTTCCCTTTTCCTGTTTCCTGTTTCCTGTATTATGTGGATGAGCAGAAACACACACACACACACACACCACACACACTGAGTGAGGTGAGTCTGCATCATGTCGCTGTTTGAACGCTGTAGTTTCATCGTGGTGAGTGAAGAACATAGACACGCTGATATTATTTATAATGTTTGATGAGTACCTGACAGAAGAAAATCGTCTAGTGTGTGTTTGACTATGATGCCCCCTGTGTTCACATCAGGAAACATGATGATGTATGCTATGATGTCACATGACTTTCCTCCTTAAACAGGAAGTGCTGAAGCAGCTGCAGGGCACCATAGAAGAAGATTCTGGGGAGGCTACTGGATCTCAGCTGGAGCTCATCGAGAGACTGAAGGGTGAACAAACACACACAGAACATAAAGTAAACTCTGTATATACACAGAGTACATGTATAAAAAAATCCTACCCGTATAACCTGATGTATTCTATCCTCTAGAGATGAGCCTGGACTCTGCAGGCTTGAAGCCCAGATCGAGGCCTTCTCTACCCACTTCGTCCTCCTCCAGCTCAGCTTCCTCTGGTTCTGGAGCCACTGCAGGACCAGCCGCAGGCACCCCCACCCCAGCTGCGATTCCCAGGAGAGGGCTGCCGTCTGCAGGCAGAGACAGCCAAGACCGCTGCCTGGAGGAGCTGGAGAAAGAGAGGTACTGCTGGTTGTTATTCTTATCGTACTAAAGATCTTTTACAACTGTCAGAGTACTGTTACTGTGTACTACAGTCACTGCAGCTTTAAGAGGATAATAAACAGTACTACTGTCTGTGTTTTCAGTTCTTGGGACTATGACTGTAGTTTAGTCGCCATGTTTGTAGTTCTTTTCATGTTGGTAGTAGTGGGGCCCTCTGTGATTGGCTGCTGTTTCACAGGTCTCTCCTATTGGCTGAGCTGGAGAAGGAGGAGAAGGAGAAGGACTGGTATTACGCTCAGCTGCAGAATCTCACGAAAAGGATCGACAGCCTGCCGCTGACGGAGAACGTAAATCATAAATCACATTACTTTTGCCTGCTGTGTTTGCACTCTTAAAGTTTCCACAGTCATACTCAAGTTTCTCCAGTTTCCTCTCCCTACATACTACAGTTCCAATCATCTTGAGATGACGTTGCCATGGTTACACTTTGTTGTTTGTAGTTTACTCTACAGACGGACATGAGTCGTCGTCAGCTGGAGTTCGAAGCTCGGCAGATCCGCTCGGCGATGGAGGAGCAGCTGGGATCCTGCCAGGAGATGGAGAGGAGGGCTCAGGTAAGACTCACTGAGGAACAGGCAGGGGGCGGGGCAAAAGAACAAATGAATAACCTGAGTGCAGACGTTCAGTTCAACCCTGGTCTCTGATTGTGTGTGCGTGTGTAGGCTCGTGTGTCTCGTATTCAGCAGATAGAGAAGGACATCCTGCGGCTGGGAGCTCGTCTACACGTGAGCTGAATAACCTTTCTCTTTTGTTATGGGGGGGGGGGGGGTAGGGTTTCACAAACTGCAGCTGCATACACATGGTGTAAACCATAGATATGAACACGTAGATGCATCTTGGAGAGGTGAATGTCAGTCTGTGGTCCATGAACAATTAAAATATTCACATCTCTCTCTCTGTGTGACATCAGAACTGTATTTATGAATCAGGATACTTCATACTGAAAAACCTTTATCTTACAGAATCGTATATTAAATATTCGACTTCAACCTTCAGTTTTTACAGTGATAATTTTACTCGTGATTTTTTTCTCTCTCTCTTTGTCAGGTGGAGGAAACTCAGGGGGCGAGCGACAGCAGCGGATTGGCTGGAGCTCAGGTGAAAACTGGCATTCTTCATCTTCTTTGTTTATTGTTGTGTGTTTGACAAATTATCTTAACACTTTTATTTCTGTGACAGAGCTCCAGCAGCCGATTGGACCATGAGCCGGCCAATGAGCGAGCTACTCTGTTCCTCGACGAATTACAAGCCATCTGGGAACAAAGGTTGGTAATCTGCCTAGCAACACTGCAACGAAAAACTTGTTAGCTGCCAAAATACTGAATTACCAATGAGCACTGTCGCCCCTGCAGGTGGAGATGGTGTATAGTCTTCTGTCCATGTTGGGGACTCACGATAAAGACGACATGTCGCGGACGCTGCTTGCCATGTCGAGCTCTCAGGACTCGTGCATCGCCATGCGTCAGTCCGGCTGTCTGCCTCTGCTCATCCAGCTGCTGCACGGCAACGACAAGGACTCCCTGTTGCTAGGTAACTGTCTCTTTGTTGCTGCGTGTTTTCTTAAAAATATGGTGGTTTTAATGTTGTTTCACCTGTTGTCTAGGTAACTCTCGGGGTAGTAAAGAGGCTCGTGCACGGGCGTCGGCGGCACTGCACAACATTGTTCATAGTCAGCCGGATGATAAGCGAGGGCGCAGAGAGATCAGAGTGCTCCACCTGCTGGAACAGGTGCGTCATTACTGTGAAGCATGCTGGAGCTGGCAAGAGAACCATGAGAGGGGCGTCGACCAGGAAGACAACCCCAGTGAGTGACCAATCAGGAGCTCAGACTGTGTGCGTATGTGGGTTCAACTGTGTGTGTGTTTAACTTTGTGTGTGTGTGTGTTTAGTGCCGTCTCCTGTGGAGCATCAGATCTGTCCCGCTGTCTGCGTCCTGATGAAGCTGTCATTCGACGAAGAACATCGCCATGCCATGAACGAGCTGGGTGAGTTAATTGCCAACTGACAGGCTGTTTATAACGGACAGGCTGTTTATAACGGACAGGCTGTTTATTACTGACAGGCTGTTTACTACTGACAGGCTGTTTACTACTGACAGACTGTTTATTACTGACAGGCTGCTTATTAGGCTGTTGACAGTGTGTTTTTCCTCCCTGCAGGTGGTCTTCAGGCAGTGGCAGAGCTGCTGCAGGTCGACTGTGAAATGTTCGGTCTGAGCAGCGACCATTACAGTGTCACACTGCGTCGATATGCTGGTATGGCGCTCACCAACCTCACCTTTGGAGACGTAGCTAATAAGGTGAGGGAAAAAAACGGTAACCACATGAATCAAACATGCCACTACCTGGAACCAATCAGATCACAGCTCTGTGTTTTCTTCCTTTCAGGCCACGCTGTGCTCCATGAAGGGCTGCATGAGGGCGATGGTGCCCAGCTGAAGTCTGACAGTGAAGACCTGCAGCAGGTAAACTCAACTGGCTCCATGGCAACTGTCTTACACCTGGTTTAAATCACTGATGTGACTCCCTCAGGTGTGCTCCTGCAGCTTTATGACTCCCTCAGGTGTACACCTGCAGCTTTATGACTCCCTCAGGTGTACACCTGCAGCTTTATGACTCCCTCAGGTGTACACCTGCAGCTTTATGACTCCCTCAGGTGTACACCTGCAGCTTTATGACTCCCTCAGGTGTGCACCTGCAGCTTTATGACTCCCTCAGGTGTACACCTGCAGCTTTATGACTCCCTCAGGTGTACACCTGCAGCAGGTTGTCCTCCCTCACACTGTGATGCCTTAGCTTTATTTTGTTGATTTCATTGAGGAAACTTTTTGACAAACCAGTTTAAATAAGTATTTTTTTTCTTCTGTCCACCTGTTTTTTTTTTTTGTCAGGTGATTGCGAGTGTACTCAGAAACTTGTCATGGCGTGCTGATGTCAACAGTAAAAAGACACTGCGTGAGGTGGGCAGCGTGCGAGCGCTGATGGGCTGCGCTCTAGAAGTCCAGAAGGTAAAAATGTCTTTCCTGTTTGTTTGTCAGAGTACTTCCTGATGTGGAGAACTGATTCTTCTTCTTTTCCCTTTCAGGAGTCCACTCTGAAGTCTGTACTGAGCGCGCTCTGGAACCTGTCGGCCCACTGCACCGAGAACAAGGCCGACATTTGCGCCGTGGACGGAGCGCTTGCCTTCCTGGTTGGAACCCTGACGCACCGCAGTCACACCAACACGCTGGCCATCATTGAGAGTGGTGGGGGAATCCTACGCAACGTGTCCAGCCTTATCGCCACCAATGAGGCACACAGGTAAACAGCTACACATAAACACCTGTACAGGTAAACAGCTGTACAGGTAAACAGCTACACATAAACACCTGTACAGGTAAACAGCTGTACAGGTAAACAGCTACACATAAACACCTATACAGGTAAACGGCTACACATAAACACCTGTACAGGTAAACACACAGGTCAACGACTGTACAGGTAAAGAGCTACACATAAACACCTGTACAGGTAAACAAACTGGTAAACATCTGTACAGGTAAACAGCTACACATAAACACCTGTAGAAGTAAACTTCAGTATGAACATTCTGCTCCCTGCTTGTTGTCTTGTAGGCAGATTCTTCGGGAACACGGCTGCCTGCCCACTCTGCTGCAGCACCTGAAGTCTCACAGTTTGACCATCGTGTCCAACGCCTGTGGGACTCTTTGGAATCTGTCAGCCAGAGACGCCAAAGACCAGGAAGCATTATGGGAGCTGGGTGCTGTGGGCATGCTGCGTAACCTCATCCACTCTCGGCACAAAATGATCGCCATGGGAAGCGCCGCTGCCCTCCGCAACCTGATGGCCAATCGGCCAGCTCGCTACAAGGATGCCAGTGTGTTGTCCCCGGGCGCCGGCGCCCCATCACTGCACGCTCGCAAACAGAAGGCTTTGTTTGAGGAGCTGGACGCCCAGCAGCTGTCAGAAACCTTCGACAACATCGACAACTTGAGCCCCAAGGCGGGGCACAGGAAGGGGCGGGGCTGTAATGGTGTAGGAGGAGCAGGGAGCACAACAAGGTCGTATGCAAACACTCCAGTGCTTTCAAGCCCGAAAAATGGAGACGTGTCTAAGAGGACAGGCGAGGATGCGGGTTACGCCCGGCCTGTGTTCCCGCCCAGCGTACGAGCGTCCAGCGACAGCCTTAACAGTGTGACGAGTGCCGATGGCTATGGAAACCGTGGAAAGACCAAACCGTCATCAGAACCATTCTATCCATCTGATGAGAGCGAGGCCAACAAGTGCTGCATCTACAGGAAGTACCCCGCTGACCTAGCCCACAAAATCCGGAGCGCCAACCACATGGCGGACGATGACGGGGCGGAGCTAGACACGCCCATCAACTACAGCCTGAAGTACTCTGATGAACAGCTGAACTCTGGGAGACAGAGTCCCAACCATCGCAGTGTGATAGAGAGCGATGAAGACGACCAACAAGATGGCCGGCTTAGAAAAAGGAATGACGGCGCTGAGTCTGCAACCAGCGGCCGCATGGCGTCTGTCCCACCTCGCTATGTCGCCGCCACCGCAACATCAAACTTTGGTGGCGACGCAAACAGTGAGCAGCCGATCGACTATAGTCTGAAGTACGTTGCTGACGCTCCCCGCAAACCAGTGTTCAAGTCTGAAGAAACTGCTGCCACCTCAGTGCCCCCTGCCCCGCCATCCTCTGCCAACAAGCTCCGCCCCCCTCCACCATCAACCAATCGTCCAGCCACAAAAAGCAACCAGGAGTCCACTCAGACGTACTGTGTCGAGGACACGCCCATCTGCTTTTCCAGAGGCAGCTCGCTGTCTTCGTTGTCGTCAGAAGAGGAGGAGGAGCATAGTGATGTCACTGGGAGGAAGAGGAGAGGCGGGAGTGTTGGTCGTGGTCGCGGTGGAAGTAACGACTATCCGACACTTCCTGTCAGTGAGAAGGACGCACACGAACAGAGGCAGCAGAAAGAGGCAGAGAGCCAAACGGCTGCCGCTGCTCCTTCCAACCGCGCAAGACGTGGTCATCATCATCATGGCCACGCCCACCACCACCATCACCACCATCATGTGACATCATCAGGCGCCAGGACTCCAAAGAGTCCTCCGGAGCTGCCGTACGCTCAGGAGACGCCGCTAATGTTTAGCCGCTGCACGTCTGTTAGCTCCCTCGACAGCTTCTCCACGTCCTCCATCGCCAGCTCTGTGCGCTCAAGCGAGCCGTGTAGTGGCGTGCCAAGTGGTGTCGTCAGCCCCAGTGACCTACCTGACAGTCCAGGACATACCATGCCACCAAGCCGTGCCAAAACGCCGCCATTACCAGCAGCAAGTCAAAAAGCAAAGGACGAGGGAAAAGCCCTAAAGAAGGAGGAGGAGAGCGGCGCCGACATCCTGCTGCACTTCGCCACAGAGAGCACGCCACATGGCTTCTCCCGAGCCTCAAGTCTGAGCGCGCTCAGTCTGGACGAGCCGTACATCGCAGCAGAGATGAGGAAGGAGGAGCAGGACGGAGGGAAGGAGACAAGGAAGGAGGAGGCGACACAACCCATCCTCGACGAATCAGACGACGACGATGACATTGAGATTCTGGAGGCGTGCATCAACATGGCCATGCCCAAATCGTCACGGAAACCAAAGAAACAGCAACAAGCAGCGCCACGGAAACCCAGCCAGCTTCCTGTTTACAAGCTCCTCCCACCTCAAAGCCGGCAGAGGAAAGAACTGCCGCTGCCACCACCGGAGGAGGTACCTAGAGTTTACTGTGTGGAAGGAACGCCACTCAACTTCTCCACCGCCACATCTCTCAGTGACCTCACTATCGACTCGCCGCCCAATGAGATAGCAGCATCCGGTTTATCAGTAGCTCCTCCCACCTCCGCCCAAAACAGGCGGAAAGGACTTCCTGAGGGGGAAAATGGCGATGACATCCTTGCAGAGTGCATCAGCGCAGCCATGCCGAAAGCGAAACCAAGAAAACCGCTCAGAGCCCCATCAAACTCTGAGACCCTACAAGCCCCGCCCCTGCCCCCACCCCTTCCTCCTCTGGCCCCGCCTCCTCAGCAGCAGAAGAAAAAGCCAACTTCACCTGTGAAGCCAATGCCCCAGCGGGCAGCCTTCAACGTTGCCACAGCAACAGCTGCCAAAGCAAAGCCAGGGTTTGCCTTCGACTCCCCCCGACACTACACGCCAATCGAGGGAACGCCTTGCTGCTTTTCCCGTAACGACTCCCTGAGCTCACTGGACTTTGACGAAGATGACGGCGTTGAGAAAGATGAAGAGGAAAAGAAAACAAAAGAAGAAGAAGGCAGGAAGAGGAAGCAGCAGACAGCAGCCGTTTTCCCTCGTACAAAACCTGCAACAAATACAATAGCGTCTGACGAGCGTCAGAAGTTTTCCATTGAGGACACGCCCGTCTGCTTCTCCAGGAACTCGTCTCTGAGCTCGCTCAGTGACATCGACCAAGAGAACAACAACAAGGAGTTCGCTCCTCCGCCGCCACCGCCACCGCCTGAAAGGCAGGATGGAGGCAAAGCAACGACAGAGCCACTTCCTCAGGCAGATCTGAAGCCCCGCCCCTCAGCTGGCTACGCCCCCAAAGCGTTTCACGTTGAGGACACTCCCGTCTGCTTCTCCCGGAACTCGTCGCTCAGCTCGCTGAGCATCGACTCGGAGGACGACCTCCTGCAGGAGTGCATCAGCTCCGCCATGCCCAAGAAGAAGAAGAAAGCTGCTGCTGCCTCTGTCTCACTTCCTGAGCCAAAAGCTGAAGAGGAGCCGTCAGAGGTACCCAGAAGCCCCGCCTCCCCCGACTCAGAGTCCTTTGACTGGAAGGCGATCCAGGAAGGAGCCAACTCCATCGTCTGCAGCCTGAACGCCGCTGCTGCAGCCGCCACTTCCCTTTCCCGCCAGCCGTCATCAGACTCTGACTCAGTGCTGTCCCTGAAGTCTGTTGGCTCGCCATTCCGCCTGCCAGCAGCCAATAAGAATACAGAAGAGGAGGAGGGGAAGGAGGGGAAGCGAGGGGGCCGGATCCTGAAGGGGGGGGAACGCACCACATTGGAAGCCAAAAAGAAAAAGGAAGAAGAAGAAGAGGAGGAGGAGTCAAAGGCCGTTAAAGGCGGGAAAAAGGTGTACAGGAGTCTGATCACGGGTAAACCAAGGGCGGAGCCAGCAGCAAGGGGGCGGAGCAAACCAAGAGCAGCCGCTGTGTCTAAAGCTCCAGGAAGCAGTGACTGTGCTGACAGGGGGGGCGGGTCTTCTCGAGACTCAACGCCATCACGCTCCTCCTCAGCAGCCAATCAGAAAGGAGGGAAACTCTCACAACTGCCACGCACCGGCTCTCCAGGAAGTGCATCATCGTCCTCATCAGCATCAAAAACAGCCAAACAAAGTGGAGCAGCACGGAGCGGGGGCGTCCCACGGAGTGAGTCTGCATCAAGGCTCAGCAGCTCCAAGAAGCAGAAGGCGGAGCCAGAGAAACCGACGCTCGTCCGTCAGTCGACCTTCATCAAAGAAGCTCCGAGCCCAACGCTGAAGAGGAAGCTGGAAGAGTCTGCAGCAGTGACTTTAGAGTCACCGTCGAGCCCAGAGACGGCGTTACCATCAACAACCAGGAGACACGATATCAACCGCTCACACTCTGAAAGCCCGTCACGCCCACAGGAAGTGACATCATCACGCTTCAGCCGCACCGGCACCTGGAAAAGGGAAAGTAGTAGTAGTGGTGGAGGAGGAGGAGGAGGGGGAGGAGGAGGGGGGAAGCATTCCACATCCCTGCCACGTGTGGGGACATGGAAGAGGACAGGAAGCTCGTCTTCTGTGCTGTCAGCATCATCCGAGTCCAGTGAGAAGGGGCGGAGCGAGGAGGAGAGCGCCGCCAGGTCAAAGGGAACGTGGAGGAAGACAAAGAGCGGCAGCGGTGATGTGTCAGGTGGGAGGAGCTTCACAGAGAAATCAGAAGATGTTTGGGTTCGTCTGGAGGATTGCCCCGTCAACAACCCACGATCCACCTCTGCCTGTTCAGCTCGCTCTCCGACCACGGCCAATGCCCCGCCTGTCATCGACAGCCCCGCCCCTTCCAAGATCCCCTCCTCCTCCTCCTCTTCCTCCTCGTCCAACCTCAACCTGCGACGGAGCTGTGAGAGCCTTGACGATAAGCCCCCACCTGAGTGCAATCAACAACAACAAAATCAACAACAAAATCAACAACAACCACCCTCGCAGCATCAGCGAGGTCAGCAGCGTAGTGGCGCCGTGGCGGCTCGAGTCAGCCCCTTCAACTATACACCGAGCCCGAGGAAGAGCAACCCTGATGTCACTACCACAGCCACGCCCACAACTACCACATCATCGTCCACCACACCAACACGACCCTCTCTCATCCCGACACCTGTCACTAAGAAACGGGAGCCTAAAGGCGGGGAAGGTGGCGCCAGCAGTGGCGGTGGTGGCGGTGAGCGCGGCTCTTACATCGTGACTTCAGTGTGAAAACGACAAAATGGAGGATGTGTAAATATGGCAGTCAGAAAGTGTTTGTGAACTGAACTTTGCAAAGAAGAGAGTCAGTATCTAAGTGCTAGCCCCCCTTTCTCTTACCCGCCTTCTCTTTCCTCATTGGTTACTCTCACCTGTCAGTCAAGCTTCTTCATTCAATGAGAGAGAACTTTACAAATTAACTTTTTATGTTTTTATACCACTAAAATGATGTGTAGCGCTTAGATCCACCCCTTTCTGCCTGTGCCCCTGCATGGTCCCGCCCCCTACCTTAATGATGACAGTTACCATGGTGACATAACGATGATGATGACGATTCAATGTTACTGCTAGCTGTAGCGTGTTTTGGAAGATTTCATGTTTTTTTAATGGTTTGGTCCTGAGAAGTTGAGTTTTTCTCCACGTTAGTTAAAACACACCGTGTGATCATTTTGAATCTGAGTCTTGTGATTGGTTGAGATTCTTCCTCATCTTTGAATTTTAACAAACTCGGATAAAAATTCAATTTTTCAGAAGTTCTTCTCACAGAGTTTTTTTTTTTTTATTCGGAGAGGAAAGTTTGCTGTCGCGTAAACCTGAAACTTTAAGACCCTGCTTTGAGAGAACACTTCAAACGTTCCTGTAATTTCTGCTGAATTTTAAAGGTTTTGGTCTGCAGGTCTGTTAACGTCCCACTCTGTCGCCTTGGCAACAAATAACACTGTAAAAAATGTAAGTTATTGCTGTAAAACCTTAAAACCTTTTAACTTTGAAGCACATAATTTAAAACAAAAAATGAGTTTTGCCAAAAATGTTTGACAGTGTTGCTGATGGCTGAAACTTTCACTGTTTTTATGTTGGAGGAGAAGTTTGAGATGAAAATGTTAAACTGAAGATGGACAATAAAATTCAACGATTAGGTGCAAACCGACTCGTGTTGTCTTGTGGTTCACTTTTGATTTCTGTCCGTCCATTTTCTTCCGCTTCTCTGAGGGTGAAGTACCATAAATCAACCCAGACTTCCAGCGCCTCCTGGGTGATTCAAGATATATCATCACCTCATCATGACCTTAAGGCTCGTAGCTATGCCTCTGGACCCTCAACATGGCCCCCTAAGGGACAAACCCCTGTGAGGGTAAAGAGCTGTTCCACTGTGCTCCGGTACCAAGTACACTTATGAACTTTGTTTGGAAATAGTTTTCATAACGGCCCCTCTTCAGGATTTGGTTCCAGAACCTGTCCTGTGCGTTGACGTGAGCCAGGTCCCCCTCTATGCTGGCTTAGCATACCCTGACCCCCCTGCCTCTCCCTCCGGGTGTTGGGCCTATAGTGCGGTGGCTCAGGCTATGCCTGACTGGGCCCCATGGAGGTAAGCCCGGCCCCCAGAAACACGCCTTCAAGCTCCACCCTCCCCCCTGTCTGGCTCCAGGGGGTTGCCCTGGTAACCCTTTTCGGGGCGAGGTGACTAGTTTCCGTTTGGCCATCGTAAGGGTTTTGTTCAACCACTCTAAATGTGAAGGAAAGCAAGAATGAACCTTCTGGGAAATATGACTTTGTTTGAAGGTAAGTTTCTTTATAGAGCGACGCTCACTTGACACGGTTATTTAGATCAGTATTAAAGGGAAACTTCAGCCGTTGAAACATCTGTATTGACATTGGTTCATGTAGTAGAAATGTGAAATACATTTTGAAGTTGGAGTCCCATTGATGGCGGTCTCCATGATTGAAATGCTGTCTCAGTCTAACTTTCAGTCAACCTAACGACAGGCTGAGAGCTGGAGCTGAGGTGGGTTTTAAGCCTCCTGACAAACCGTTACACCGTACCCACCTGTCAATCATGTCAGCTACACGCCTTATTGTGAACAACTCTTATCCTTCATCAAATCAAAACTGATGAGTCATCAAAACATTCACCCCCCCGTACAGTGTGTGTCGATCAAGACATGAGCTAATCAGACCTGTTTGTTTTTTGAACCAGGCTGTAACCATGTTAATCTCTGCTGTAATAACAGGCTTTATTGAATGGGTGTGTATGTGACTTCCTGTGCTTCTGCAGCCAGCCTCTAGTGGACACTCGAGGAACTGCAGGGTTTTACACTTCAGCATCGGCTTAATTTTTCTCCTTGCAGTGAACACATCACATTAAAACTGTTTCAAACCTTTGTGTTTTTATTGATTATAAACAAGTGACGTTTCAATGAGGTGAAACATCCTAAAGAGAAGAAGGCACATATAAAGAAAATCCTTCAAACAAACAGAAGATTAAATATTTTTAGATACAGAAATAATTCATGAAATGATAATAAAGAACCTCAGACTTAGACTCCTCTGAGAGTCATAGAGCTGTCAGTCTGATGGATTTAGGCTAACAGTGTAGGGTTAATAAATATTTACAAAATCAACTTGTGAATAAATGTTTTGTTTCTGTAAATATACATAACAATATAAACATGAACACACTTAATATATTTCTGATTTTTAATTGATTATATTTGTATGATTGAATTCTTAATTATTATTATTATCTTATTTGTTATTATATGTTTCGGTAATTTATTTACACATTTATGCGTAAAAAGCTTCTTTATTGAATCATAGAGAGAGAAATTGTCTTGTTTTGACATTCAAACAGGAAGTTGGAGGCTGTGAGGTTTTTAGGGAATCACTTCCTGTCAGTCTCCGTCCCCCACCTCTCTCTCTCTCTCTTTCTCTCTCTCTCTCTCTCTCTCTCTCTCTCTCTCGCTCTCTCTCTCGTGATGGACACTCAGAAGGTAAGGACTTGATCTATTGATCAATAACTTCATCAGTCTGCTGAGGGCGAGTCACATTAACTAACAGAGAGAGAGAGAGGATTAGTTAGCTGTTAGCTGTTAGCAGCCAAAGTCCTCTCTCTCCCATTCTTTTTTATGTCACTCGCCCTCGCTTCCTTTTAATTCTGCTTCATCAGAGATATAGGTCACTGCACTGTAAAACTACTGCAGAAAAGTCTACTTCACTGTAAAAACTACTGCAGAAAAATCTACTTCACTGTAAAAACTACTGTACTGTAAAGCTACTGCATTGTAAAACTACTACACTGAAAACTACTGCACTGTAAAGCTACTGCACTGTAAAACTACTACACTGAAAACTACTGCATCGTAAAGCTACTGCACTGTAAAGCTACTGCACTGTAAAACTACTGCACCGTAAAGCTACTGCACTAAAATCTACTGCACTGTAAAGCCACTGCACTAAAATCTACTGCACTGTAAAGCTACTGCACTAAAATCTACTTCTCAGTTAAACTACTGCACTAAAGACTACTGCACTGTAAAACTACTGCGCTAAAATCTACTGCACTGTAAAGCTACTGCACTAAAATCTACTTCTCAGTTAAACTACTGCACTAAAGACTACTGCACTGTAAAGCTACTGCACTAAAATCTACTGAACTGTTAAACTATTGAACTAAAATCTACAGCACTGTAAAACTACTTCACTAAACTCTACTTCACAGTAAAACTACCACACTAAAAACTACTGCACTAAAATCTACTACACTTCAAAGCTACTGCACTGTAAAATTATTACACTGAAAAGCTACTGCACTATAATCTACTGCACCGTAAAGCTACTGCACTAAAATCTACTGCACTGTAAAGCCACTGCAATAAAATCTACTGCACTGTAAAGCTACTGCACTAAAATCTACTTCTCAGTTAAACTACTGCACTAAAGACTACTGCATTGTAAAACTACTGCGCTAAAATCTACTTCACTGTAAAAACTACTGCACTGTAAAGCTATTGCACTAAAATCTACTGAACTGTTAAACTACTGCACTAAAATCTACTTCACTGTAAAAACTACTGCACTGTAAAGCTAATGCATTGTAAAGCTGCTGCACTGTAAAGCTACTGCACTAAAATCTACTGAACTGTTAAACTACTGCACTAAAATCTACTGCACTACAAAACTGCTGCACTAAAATCTACTGCACTGTAAATCTACTGCACTGATAAGTCACTGCACTGAAAACTACTGCACTAAAGTCTACTGCACTGTAAAACTACTGCACTAAAATCTACTGCACTGTTAAACTACTGCACTGTAAAGCTACTGCACTAAAATCTACTTCACAGTTAAACTACTGCACTGTAAAACTACTGCACTAAAATCTACAGCACTGTTGAACTACTGCACTGTAAAACTCCTGAACTAAAATCTACAGCACTGTAAAACTACTTCACTAAAATCTACTTCACAGTAAAACTACCACACTAAAAACTACTGCACTAAAATGTACTACACTGTAAAGCTACTGCACTGTAAAACTATTACACTGAAAAGTTACTGCACTAAAATCTACTACACTGTAGATTTACTGCATTGTAAAGCTACTGCACCAAAATCTACTGCACTAAAATCTAATTCACAGTTAAACTACTGCACTGTAAAACTACTGCACTAAAATGTACTGCACTGTGAAACTACTGCACTATAAACTAAAGACCTACGCAACCTGAAGTCGTTTTCATACATCCACTACTAAAGATATCTGGAAAACTTTAGTGGATTCATGGAGACTGAAAGTGTAAATAAAAGCTTTTTTGGGCGGCAGTGGCTCAGTTGGTAGAGTCGTTGCCTCTCAACCGGAAGGTCGAGGGTTCGATCCAGCTGGGCAACATGTCCGCTGCTTCGGTGGTGGTGTATTAATTGGATTAGTTACTGCTGATGGATGATACGACATAGCAACTACTACCATCAGTGTGTGAATGTGTAGGTGTGACATGCAATGTAAAAGCATTTTGAGTAGTCGGGAGACTAGAAAAGCTCAAGTCCATTTACCATTCAAAAAGTGACAAATTCAGCTGTTAGCGTTCATAAATTCCTAAAATGTTTTCACTTTAAATAAAATAACAAAAATATAATCTGATTTGTGTGTTTTTGTGTGATAGGAAGCTCTGTCCAGGATCATCTGCACTCTAGCCAATAAGAATGAGGAGCTGCAAAACTTCCTGGACACAGTTGACAACACGCTGACAGGACTACAGGTCAGCAGCTGATTGGTTGAGTGAGAGAAAAGGGAGGAGCTAAATTGAGGGTTAGAAAGAAACAGATCAAAATCATGAAATTATAAAATGTTTTTTTCCCATCCAATCAGGAGGAATCATGTAAGGTATTGTCTGAGCTGGAGGCGGAGCTTGAACAGCTCAGTTCTGCTCTAGACTGGAAGGGGGCGGAGCTTCGTGGAATTATTAAAGAGGAAAAGCAAAGGAAAGAGGCAGAGCTTCAGGTAAAGAAAAGTTGATTATCCCCTGTCTTGCAGTATTTTTGTGTAGTATTAATTTTATTAAATAATATTTTAAATGTTTTTGGTTTCAGAAATGTTAATCTCAACTCTAATTATTGTATTTTCTCACATCTTGAAAATAAAAACATTGAGATCAAGTTTTGTTAAACAATGTGAAGATTCTATCGTCAAATGTTGCTCTCAACAAATTTTCAGTTCAGTCTTTTCTCCAAAATAATTTCCTCTTGAGTTATTAAAATGTATTTGACACGTTTTTCTCTCTTCAGACTTTTAATAAGTACAATATTGTTGTGGTCACAGATTTAAATGTATTTTTATGTGATTTCTCAGAAGCAGCTGTCGGAGGGCAAGTTCGCTCTGTTGTCTTGTGAAGAACTTCTTGAGTTTGCAAATCAAACTCTGAACATCAGTGACGAAGAAGAATTCCTGAAGGTTCGAAACATCACGCTCACAAAAAAGTTTTTATTTTTGATTTGAACAACTTTTACTGGAAAATGGCTGAAAGAATACATTTCCTTTTTAGGCTGCGAAACAGATCAAAGAAAGGTCAGTGCCCTGTACAAATTTCATCTTCATGAATAATGTGTTGATTTGTTTGTTTTCTCCTCCTGTGTGTTCTTTTTTTTACATTTATTCATTTTTTTTTTGGTTTCTCCTTTTGTTGTTGATTTTTCTCAAACATTAAAAGTAGGGGTTGGTGTAGACAGAGCACTGAGGGAATGCTTCTTTCAAAATCATGATAGTTTTAGAAAATTACCAACCCTGCCTTTAACATTAAAAAAATATGCCCCTTTTCAACACAAGTTCTTCATCGTCTCAAGACTATCTCTCCACCTGTTCCATAACTTTTACAGGATATGATCCCCTGCTCGTCAGAGTCCATGATTCCTTTAAGACACTACGGCTCGCCCGGCACGCCCATCTATAAAGCACCTGTGCTGGCGTGCAATCACTAGCTCCTACCAGTGAGGTGTGTTGCAATCGCTGATTCTGTATTGTTTCTGATGGCCTCCCAGTCAAGGTGCAAATTTGCGACTGTTTCAGCATACCGACCCATGCTGTGCGCAGACTCAAGTCAGCTAACAGCGGGGAACCATACATTGTTCCATCCCGCCATATCTCAGTGAATAAAACAGAGGTACCAGCTGCTGTGGCAGGGTGAATGATGATTACCAGATTACAAGGACAACATGACGGTGAAATGATTTACTCGAGGTCTAAATCTTAATTTAGTCTAACATTATGGCAAAACATGATGGGATCAAATGAAATAAAGACGACCTTACGGGGAGCAAAGTGAAATGGGAATTATGAAGTTCAGATTTTAGATGACGACCCTTTTTATCGTCTCGACACCAAGCTGTAACTGAACGTTCTTACTTTGAAGAATGGTTCTGACGATCCCCTCTGGGCGGTCCAGCTCACGGTCCCAACGAGTAGTTAGAGGTATCGTGAATATCTGCTGGCTAATTGGCTGCCACGGCAAGCCGGGTAGGGGTCCATTAACAGCGTCAGTGGAGATGTTGATGGGTCACATCTTGGCGTCAGCTGCTCCGGGTTGATTGAACTGTATTCTCGCAAAAAGAATGAAGTCGAGACAGATCTTGATGGCCAATCTTAATCAGCTTGAATTATAAAAATACCTTTGTGAAAGATAATGAACAAAAACTAACTTCAAAACACTTTATACTTAAGATGTAGAGAAAAATATAAGAAAACGTGAGGCAGGAACAAAAAAAGAAAAGTTTTACGCTCGTAAAGTTAAGACAAGAGAGACAACTAAAAGGGAAGTAGACAGGAAGAGAGAAGAAACTAAAGCTGAAGTGAGACGCTCTTATCTACCAGAGAAAAGAAGGGTGGGTTTTCACCCACTCGGGGAGACTGCGCCCACATTTATGGTTCGGATCAATTTAACAAAAAAAGCTTTGCTTTTGAAGCACGACAACAAAGATAAATCCTTATTGTCATATAACACAAACATTCTGATAGTTTCAACTTCTCCAATATTGGTTGCCCCTCCAAAAGAATGGCAAAATTGGTTCCTTATCCCTTGGTTCTCAGCAATCCCACCTTTGTTGAACAGCTTGCCATTCCATTCTTTTCAGTGGGGCTCAGATTAATATTGGGCCTGGCCCCAGAGAGGGACAGGCTCCTGGCTTTAGTTTTACCTGAGCCTGAAGTGAGTACAGGCAACCTGGGCACCATCTGCTGAGGTTGCTTTCATCTACTAGTGAGGTGTGTTGCAACCAGGTGAGGAGCTCACCAAGTTGACCCCTACCTGGCCACATCCCAGGATGTCCTGCGTATCTCAGTCCTAGCTGGAGAGCAGAGCCGAAGCATGCTGTTACTCTGCACGGCATGCCAGCAACAACCAAGGTGGTTTTGCATTGGTGAACATACTTTGGATGAACACAGCTGTTCCTCACAGTGAAAAGCACAAGTCGTGATGCCCTGAGGCTATGATGTGCAAAACTGGACCTTCAGTCCTGTCCTGGGATCGAGATTTAGTCATCAGTGTACTGCAGCATCCCTTTTATGAGCCTCTTGGGGATGCAGTCTCAGAATGGTTTTTGTTGCTTCTGCCAGAAGGATAAGCAAGCTACATGCACTGGCTGTTTATGATGACTAGAGGGTAGAAGGGATCAATCTTAGTCCTTCATTATGATGAGCTGTGGGGCGTCAAAGGGCAAGCCAGTGTGTATTAAAGTAATATCCTCTGACGAACAGGGGATCATAACCCGTACATGTTACATATGTTGGCAGATAGTCTTTTTATAATGTAACCTTATGTTCACCACAGCTCTCATCCGATGACTTGCTTGTTACCCCGGGCCGTAACACAGGAAACCCCGCCCCTAACACAATAAGCCACGCCCCTAACATGATAAAACATACCCCTAGAACACTACGCCCCTCCCTTAACCAAGAAAAGTCCGGCCCTAATACAATAAACCACGCCTCTAACCATATAAGCCACATCTCTAACACAATAAACGATGCCCTTAAGACAATAACCCTGCCCTTAACACAATTAATACTGCTTCTGCTGGACCCGAACCTTCTGTTGCCAGGGTTACAATGGCCCCAGCCTTTCGGCTAACGACTCGACCGGCCGTGTCTGAGAACATGGCACAGTTTACAGTTGACTTCAGCACAGAGAGGTTGGGGCTTCAGCGGCTTCATTTCCTGCCAGGTGAGTTGACCTTTCTGCTGTAAACTGATACAAATGAAATTACAGAAAATAATTATATAATAATAATGATTATAATAAGAAAAGATACCACCATTTACTATTAGTATTGACAAACACTACCTTGTACTGTGTCACATGGTTTACTGTTGTTGTTATATTAGTGGGTTGTCATGGAAAAATTAAACCAGTTTCCATGACAACGAGCAGATGAAGAACAAGTCAGTAAACACAAGTTGTTCTGACTGTTCATTTTTATAGTTCCAAGAGCTCCAGAGATCGACGTCGCCAACTGTGTTGTCTGTGACAACACCATCTCTGTTGCCTGGCAACCGGCTGGGGATGCTGACAGCGACAGTGGAAGAATTGAACGCTATGAAGTCGAATACCGAAAAACAAACCGCGACTCCTCGCTGAGAGCAGCAGGAGAGGCATGCTGGGAAAAAATCCATGACATCAGAGAGACAAAGGTCACGATCTCAGGTCAGAGGGTCAGAGGTCCCATTAAGTTATAATTTTAGCATGTAGCTTTATGTTAGTTGATAGCATTTAGCTGTTAGCAGAAGCTGCTGCAGAGTCTTCAGGTTATTGTGTTAAATGAATGATTTTTGATTATTTTTCTGTTTCAGGTCTGAAGTTTGACTCCTACTTTGTTGTTGTTCGAGTTCGAGCAAAAAACAAGACTGCTGCTGGCGAGTTCTCAGAGCCGGTTGCCATAGAAACCAGAGGTAAACATGAGTGAGTGAGTTCAGTGTGTGACAACAAAAACACTGCAGGAATAAATGTTGGAAGACTTTATTGACTTTATTGTTTTTTTATTATTTAAGTCTATTCTTTTTTCGTAGCATATAATTTTGGCTTTGATGCAGCGACGGCTCACGCTGAGCTGAAGATCACAGGTGATACTGTAACCTGGGAGCCACAGGGGGTCAAGGGTCATGACCCCCGCCTGAGAAGCAAAGACAATAAAAACAGGTGAGTTACAGTTCATAAGTGAAGACAGGGTTTGACTGAGAATCATGGGAGTTGAAGTCACTGACTGGTAACAGTGTTGGTATGTTAACAGTTGATTTGGACGCAGGCAGGCGGTCCGGGTTCGAGTCCGACCCATGGTTCCTTTGCCACATGTCGTTCAACAGGCTATCCTCTGTTCTGCTCTCTGGTTAAGGCAAAGTAAAGCTTTAAAGATTTTTTAAAAACGTTAACTACAGCCACTCAGTGGATTGAAAGAGCCTTTTCATCCCGTCAGTCTCCCATTAACAAACGTTACAAACGTGAGCCGAGATCAGACCAACATTGACAGCTTGACGAGACGCTCAAGAGTTCAACTCTTGTCTTTTGTTTCTGTCTTCTGTCTTTTGTTTTATTCAAACACGTCTGAAGAGTTAAGTACACCTGAGAGCAGCTGACTGTGGCTTGTTGCCATGGTCACAGAGTTGAGGCTCTTCAGAGAGGTGTGGAGAACATGGAGGCTTTAAAGAAAGTATCATCTGCATACAGAGTGATTTTGTTGTATTTATATGTTCTAACCTGCTAAACGTGCTTATTTTTAATCAGTGCACTAATTGATTTAATTGATTTCTTAATCGATGTTTGGTCGTGTGACCCTGTGATCGTTGATCTTAGCGTCAAGTCTCTTCTTTCACTATGAGGTCACTTCCTGTGGGCTGAGCGTTGTTCAGCGCACGAACATTCATGATACAGACGCGTGACCTACATTAGGGTGATTCTCTGATATAATTATAATGTAATAATAATGATAAGATCAAGATATATTTATGTATGTAACAATACGAAGATGTCGTTGAAATGATTAAACTGTTTCTTTGATGTGTTTGTGTTATTTGACCTTTTTGTCCCTTTGCAGTCTCCGTACTGCCTCCTCTCCGTCATGCTCAGGTAGTCTTTGATTACTGGTTGCCTAGCAACAACCTTGCTGCCAATCACTTTCTCCACCCGCCATCTCTCACGGCATTTAGCCAATCAGTTCACTGCTGACATCATCAACACATTGTGTTTATTTGACAGTGATTCTCGTTCTCCAACAACTTCCTGTTTTGATTTGATAAAGTTTTATTTCATTTTTAAAACTTTTTACAGAAATAACCATTGCTGAATGAGGAAGGTTAAAATGTTTATTCATAATTTAACTTCTGTTTTAGGTTTTCATTTCCTCTGTTGCATCATCGCTTTCACACGACTTCATTGGCTGTTTCACTCGTTTTCTACTTTTATTTTTTCAGGGTTTTTTGCTCTTTTCAATTCTGAGATGTTTTTTTTTTTAAGCAGCAGAAGCGCGACACCTTCGCCCAATAAGACGACAGGAGGTCGAGGAGGACGCGACCGATTTGCCGGAGAGTCGTACACAGTGCTGGGTATTTATAGTTTAGATTATGAAACTGATTTTTAAATTCATTTTATTTTAAAATCATTCATTTTGATTAAGTCATTGATCTCTTCTGACTCACCTTTTTAACTGATTCTGTTTCCTAGGTGACCTTGAGATGACAGGCGGCCTTCACTACTGGGAGCTCCGCCCCCTGGCTGACTGGAAATCATTCAGTGTGGGCGTGGCCTATAGGCTAAGCCTGGGCCGATACGACCAATTAGGAAAGAGTGCTGGTTCGTGGTGTCTCCATGCCAGCCAATGGCTGCAGAGCTCTCTCGCTGCAAAGCACAACAACCGAGCCAAGGCGCTTGATTGGCCGCTGCCTCAACGAATCGGAATCTACTGTGACTATGATAATGGTACTTTGAAAACATGGTTGTCATGTGACTGTCTCTGTGTTTCATGTAGTCATGTGACTGTCTCTGTGTTTCAGGTGAGCTAGCATTCGTTGACGTCGACCGACTTCAGCTTCTTCACTCCTTCAAAACAAGGTTTAGCCAGCCGCTTGTCCCCGCCTTCACCGTGAGTATAAACTTCAGTCACACTACAATCACACTTCAGTCATACAACAATCACACTACAGTCACACTTCTGTCACACTACAGTCACACTTCAGTCATACTACAGTCACACATCAGTCATACCACAATCACACTACAGTCACACTTCAGTCACACTACAGTCACACTTCAGTCATACTACAATCACACTTCAGTCATACCACAATCACACTACAGTCACACTTCAGTCACACTACAGTCACACTTCAGTCATACTTCAGTCATACTACAGTCACACTTCAGTCATACTACAGTCACACTTCAGTCATACCACAATCACACTACAGTCACACTTCAGTCACACTACAGTCACACTTCAGTCATACTACAGTCACACTTCAGTCATACTACAATCACACTTCAGTCATACCACAATCACACTACAGTCACACTTCAGTCATACTACAATCACACTTCAGTCATACCACAATCACACTACAGTCACACTTCAGTCATACTACAATCACACTTCAGTCATACCACAATCACACTACAGTCACACTTCAGTCACACTACAGTCACACTTCAGTCATACTACAGTCACACTTCAGTCATACTACAATCACACTTCAGTCATACCACAATCACACTACAGTCACACTTCAGTCATACTACAATCACACTTCAGTCATACCACAATCACACTACAGTCACACTTCAGTCATACTACAATCACACTTCAGTCATACCACAATCACACTACAGTCACACTTCAGTCATACTACAATCACACTTCAGTCATACCACAATCACACTACAGTCACACTTCAGTCACACTACAGTCACACTTCAGTCATACTACAGTCACACTTCAGTCATACCACAATCACACTACAGTCACACTTCAGTCATACTACAATCACACTTCAGTCATACCACAATCACACTACAGTCACACTTCAGTCACACTACAGTCACACTTCAGTCATACTACAGTCACACTTCAGTCATACCACAATCACACTACAATCACACTTCAGTCACACTACAATCACACTTCAGTCACACTACAATCACACTTCAATCATACCACGGTCACACTACAGCCATACTACAATGACACTACAGTCATACTTCAGTATATATATATTATATATTAATCGTTATCTGTAATAATAATAAATTAATATTATTAATTTCTGTTGCAGGTCTGGTGTGGTGGCATCACCGTGGTCACAGGCATGCAGGTTCCGAGCTTCATGGGTAATTTTCTTTCCACCAATCGGAGCCTCAGTAATCTTTCACAGTAAAACAAAGTTTCCCAATCAAATTAATTTAATTCTTACAATCTTATAATTTATTTATTTAATTTATTAATTTTTAATTGAGTTCTAACTTGTAAAACATTTTATTTTCATAAATAAATATTTTTTTGTTGTGAAATCATTAAAATAATAAATATGACGCTGAGGTTTTTATTATTATGAAGTTCATTTTGTGATGTTTTCACTTTGATATAAAAATGTGTTCGTGATTTGATTCATTCAAGTTAAGATTCTACAGTAATTATTTTTTTCTGCTCTCAGATTTATTGAGTGCTTTTATTTTGAAAAAAAGGGTTTTGTGAATGATGGACCTTTTAGCATTGAGAGAATATTTCCTGTTTCAACTTGAAGAGTGTAGTTTATTTTTAATGTTATCTGTGGCAGTCTTTTGTTTTGACAGACTGACAAAATTAGATAAAGTATTTCAAGCTTTAATTTTGAAGGTTATGATAGAAACTTCCTGTAACTTTAAGAAAAAGAAAGTCATATATACCTGAAATGTGATTTATAAATGTTCATATTTATTTCATGTTGTGACTCAAAATCAAAGTTTTGTATCAAATTAAAAGTTTGTTATCAAAGAAAATAATTAAATGGAACAATGTGAAAACTTTTGTCTGCTTTTATTCTGAAGGAATCCTCAATTTTACTTTGAAGTAGATTTATAAGCATAGAACAGACAGAAACCTGGATCAGAACCAGACTCATGATGTGTGTGTGTGTGTGTGTGTGTGTGTGTGTGTGTGTGTGTGTGTGTGTGTGTGTGTGTGTGGTGTGTGTGTGTGTGTGTGTGAGAGAGTGTGTGTGTGTGTCTGTTTCTGTGTGTGTGTGAATGTGTGTTTGCGTGTGTGTGAATGTGTGTGTGTGTGTGTGAATGTGTGTTTGCGTGTGTGTGTATGTGTGTCTGTCTGTGTGTATGTTTCTGTGTGTGTGTGTGTGTGTGTGTGTGTGTGTGTGTGAATGTGTGTTTGCGTGTGTGTGTATGTGTGTTTCTGTGTGTGTGTGTTTGTGTATTTGTTTGGTGCAATGTGTGTGTGTGTGAATGTGTGTTTGCGTGTGTGTGTATGTGTGTTTCTGTGTATGTGTGTGTGTGTGTGTGTGTGTGTGTGTGTGTGTGTGTGTTTGGTGCAGTAAATTACTCATGAGGGTAGGGGGAGTCTCCATGGCAACATAACAACAGAGCACAGAGACAAGAAGGAAACGGAGCAAAGGACGAGAAGACAAAACTGAGACGAAGCAAAGGAAGAGGTGAACAGGAGAGGAGGTGAGAGGAGGAGGAGAGGAGGAAAGGAGAGGAGAGGAGGAGGAAAAGAGGAGGGGGAGGTAAAGAGGGGAGGAGAGGAGGAGGTAAAGAGGAGAGAAGAGGAGGTAAAGAGGAGAGGAGGTAAAGAAGAGAGGTGAGGAGGAGGAGGAGGAGGAGATGAGGTAAGAGGAGAGAAAGAGGTAAAGAGAGGAGGAGAGGAGGAGGAGGAGGTAAAGAGGAGAGGAGAGGAGGAGGAGGAGGAGGAGGAGGTAAAGAGGAGAGGAGGAGGAGAGGAGGTAAAGAGGAGAACAGGAAGAGAGTAGAGAGATAGTTTTCAGAGTAGTTCAGCTGCCTACATTTCCCATAATGCTGCAGTTTAGTTGATCAAGTAACAAAAATATTTTTTTGGTTCTTTTTCCTGTAAGTCATGCTGACCTGTTTCCGTGGCAACCGAGAGGAATTTTATGGCGAAGTTCTCCTATTGGATGAGAGGAAGATTACATTAACGGGCAATCAAGGCCTCAAAGTGAGAGAGAACTTTTTGTTGACTTTGTAGTTCTTAAAATGTAAATAACACACCGAAACATCTCACAACACCACACACACACACACACACACACACACACACACACACACACACACAGACACACACACACAGACACACACACACAGACACACACACACACACACACACACACACACACACACACACACACAGAGAGAGACACCCTAATCTCCCTTTCTCTCGCTTTTTGTGCTTTGAGCAATGAGATTAACTCTTTTTCCTTCTCTTTAGAAGTCCTCACGGGCAGCGGCCATCTTGGACCAGGTGTTTTCTCTGCTGCAGGTGGAGGAAGTGGAGTTTTTTGGTTTGAGGTTCTGTGATGACAAACAGCAGATGGTAGGAGAACGATCAAACTGATCAGACTTATAGATATTAATGTATAGATTTTGTAGGTTACCATGACGATTACAAAGGAATTACCTTGGAAGAGGAAAACTGGGGCAACCCCCTGGGCCAGAGCAGGGAGCTCGAAATGAGGATCACCTCATCTTCAAGGCTAAGATGGGGGGGGGGGGGGGGGTGATTGGGAGGACCTGAACCCAAGTGGTGCTTTGTTTTGACTTCTGTGTTAGTCATCAAGCATTGTTGTGGAAGTGGTTCTGAGGAGATGCAGCCAGAAAACAGTCACTGCCTATCACGGCGGCAACCTTAGGAAAGAAGCCGTCAGACTGAAGAAGGAGACCTTTTGGGTTTGGTTAGTCCAGTGGTCTCTAGAAGCAGCTGACAGGTATCGGGAGGCTCGGAGGGCTGTGGGGTGTGGGAGGAGTTCGGAAGAAAAAGTTCTGGCAAACCGTCTGATGGCTCAGGAAAGGAAAGCAGGGCTTGAACCAGACTGTTATTAGCATGGGTGAAGAACTGCTGACCCAGACTGGGGATATAACCCCTAACCAATGCTACCTCTGAAGGGAGTCTGGAGATCCGGGGAAAGCCTGAGCACCATTCTTAGCAGAGGTCACTGAGGAAGTTTGAAAGCTAAAATGTAGCTAAATGTGTTTTGTGGACACATGTAGACAGGACCCTACAGGGTTCTTGTTAGGGGTATTGCGGGAATATGGGGTCCCAGGGTCGTTGCTAGAAGCCATCAGGTCCCGGTCCTGGTTCCTTGTGCATGTTGGCCTTTGCCAGAGATGCCCCTTGTCACTGATTCTGTCCCTGAATATGTTTTTATTTCTGCAGCACTGGTTGGATCCTTCCAGAACAATCTACCAACACAGAGAGCTTAGTAAGTTCACTAAGCTATAACTGATCAAACAGGAAAGTCAATGGCTTTTGAAATATATTTCAGGTTTGAATCTGATATTTTTTGCACTCTCATGCAACGTGTCCATCGACGGCAACACTCACTGCCTCCGTTTGTCACCAGCGCTCCTTTTTGTTAAGTTAGGGTGTGAACTCCTGCTCCCTCTGTAATCTCTGTGTGTTTCAGCTCTATGTGTTTAATATTTGCTTTAATTCAAAGAAATGTCACCAAGAAAATATGAAGACAATTTAAAGGATATCAGTAGTCCCTTCTTGATTTTGATTGGTTATGAAGGAGTAGTCACATTTACGAGAGCGATGCTGTTCTTTAGTGCGCAGGATAGGGAGCGCTAACAAGGCTGAACTACACACGAGCACAAAACACAGCTCAACATTTTTCATTTTACACATTTGTTTCGTTCTACAAAAAGCTGAAAAGATGAAAATCTAATTTTAAAGTAATGTTCTCTGTTTGTCACAGTTGGACCTCCGTACATTTTCTACTTTGGAGTTAAATTTTATGTCGAGGATCCGTCCAAACTGAAGGAGGAAACTACACGGTGCACTTACAACATTTACTTCATTTATTTCATTTTTCCTTAAGAGACTTAAGGAGGTAGGTTGGGGGGGGGGTTAGGGGAGGGTTTAGGAGATAGGTTGGGGTGTTAGGGGGAGGGGTTAGGAGGTAGGTTAGGGGGGTTAGGGGGTTAGGGGGAGGGGTTAGGAGGTAGGATGGGGGTAAGGGGAGGTCAAGTTGGATCTCTGATTCATAAAAAATGTCTTTTAGCAGCTTCACTTCCTGCCCAAATGAATCTAACGGGTTGGACACATTTCTTACCATTTGAGGTGTTGAATAAAGATTTGATTGGTCATCATATCTTGTTTTTTCTTAACATTGTGATCATTGGAGGAACATTGTTTCTCCATCAGGTTTCAGTTTTACCTGCAGGTGTGTCAGGATGTGCGGCGAGGTCGACTGTCTTGCCCCGCCTACCTCAAACCTCGACTCTTTGCACTGATGCTGCAGGGTGAGAAAAAAATGATTGATTATTTATAATGTAAAAATGTAAACTTTTCTTAATTATAATTTGAATCAAAATATGAGGCAATAAACTCTAAAAATGTTGTTCAGGATTTATCTCATTTTATTTTTATTCATCAATTTTCATTGTAATTCAATTGCAGCTGATGGAGGGGAGTGGAGGAAGGCGGAGCAGAGGGAGGTGGGGCAGGTGGAGGCGGGGCAGAGGGAGGCGGGGCAGATGGATGACAAAGTCAAAGACATCTACAGATCAATTGGGTAGGAAAATTTCACACACACATGATCATTTAGTTATTTGTGTAGATATAAATATTAATCATCCCTCTCTCTCTTTTTCCCTCATGGGGCAGTGGTGTCTCTCGCCCTCAGGCTCAGTCCCTCGTCCTCTCTCTCTCCAGTTCTCTGCAGATGTTTGGAGTTTTTCTGTTCGCTGCATACGTAAGATCAATAATTCACTAAACACAACACTTCATGTATTTTGTAGACTTTCACAGTTTCTTCTGTCCGCTCACACTGATGTTATAATAATATTAATAATAATATTAATAACAATAGCTTAGATTACAATTATATCAGTTCATGTCATTAATATCATTTTGTTACATATTTGCTTTTTTATTTAAAAAAGTTTATGTATAAAACAAATCTGAAATCATTTTATTGTTTATTTATGTCTATATTATATTAAATTTAGCTTAATTTATCTTCTTTTTTCCCCCATGATTCATTGCCAGGGTGAAAACCAAACTGAGTACTTCCTGGGTCCAACTCCAGTGGGAGTGGTCATCTACAAGAACAAAGTGCTGGTTGGAAAATATTTCTGGTAGGAGTGAGACCTCACTTATTATCTTTGATATTTATACACAGGGCGGCCATGTTGATGTTACATCAAGTCCAGAAACAAATCAGTCAGGCTTTAAGCGGGGCCACTCTACTGAAACTGCACTTCTGTCAGTAACAGAATCGCTATGAGCTGCCAGAGCTGCGGGTCAGTCTTCAGTTCTATTACTGATAGACCTGTCTGCTGCCTTTGACACAGTTAACCATCAAATCCTCCTATTCACGCTCTCTGAACATCTCAGGATCTTCCCTCTGCTGGTTCGTGTCCTACCTCTCTGGGCGATCCTTTAGAGTGTCATGGAAGGGAGACGTGTCCAAAGTGCACAGCTTATCCACAGGGGTACCTCAGGGCTCAGTGCTTGGTCCCCTTCTTTTCTCCATATACACAAGCTCACTTGGTTCAATAATCCGCTCTCATGGCTTCTCATACCACTTCAGCTCTTCCTGTCATTCCCGCCAGACGATGTTACAGTCTCTGCAAGAATCTCGTCATGCCTTGCTGATATAAATGGATGAGTGTGTGCTATCATTGCAGTGTGCAATCATCAGAATCAGAATTAGAATCAACTTTATTGGCCAGGTATGCTTTACACACAAGAGATTTGACTGGTGAACTGAGCTCTCTATGTACAAAAAGTACAACATTAAATACATAGAATAAGCAAAGACTAAAATGTAGAAGGCTAAATAAGACGATAGTGCAGCGGTGAGTAGTGCAAACATGCTGAGAAGAACATGGTAATAAATATGTAAATATGTGACAGGTTGTTAATATACATGAGGTAGAGTTTTACAGTATTTACATGATTGATAAATACAGTTGTATATCATTCCAAGAGGTGAAGATGACGTTTATATTTAACACACAGGTGTGCATGTCTGACCTGATAGAACCAGATGTAACGACTTGTTCAACTTCTAAATGACCTGTAAAATGATATTTAATGACCTGTTAGTTACCATTAGCCCCAAGGTTAACGTTACCTAACAATGACATCAAACTCTGGTTAGCTTAGGTTAGCATTCAGCTCTTAGCAACTCTAGCATCAAGCACACAGATTCTCTGTAACTAACTACAGGCCGATCAGCAAACTACCTGTCATCTCTAAAATAATAGAAACATTAAATGATTACACCGCATAGTGCCATCACCATGTTCCTCGAAAAACTAAATGTTTCCTGGACAGGAAAGGTTGTGATGCTGCTGTGTTTTTAGATCTGATAAGGGCATTGACATGGTTTATCACCAAGTTCTCATAGCTTAGCTGACTGACATGAACTTCTATGAACAAGTCTTACCTTTAAAACAGGAAGCAGAAAACATATCTATGTATCTAACCCCAGTGTAATACTGCTGATTGATCGTCACTTGTTGCTCATGTTAACAAGGCAAGGCAAGGCAAGGCAAGGCAAGGCAAGGCAAGGCAAGGCAATTCAAAGTGCTTCACACAAGACATCAAAAGCATCATGACAGAGGAAAGAAAATAAACATTAAAATAGAAAATTTTAAATCACTGAAATTATGAAATCTAAACATATGTTCAAATAGAAATAATTCAAATGAAATTAATTGAAATAAATAAAGTAAAAATATAAAAAGAGTTAAAAGTTACAGTGCAGAGTTAAAATTTAAAATCTTGAAAGGCAGCTGTAAACAGGTGTGTCTTCAACCTCGATTTAAAAGAGCTGAGAGTTTCGGCAGACCTGCAGTTTTCTGGGAGTTTGTTCCAGATATAAGGAGCATAGAAACTGAATGCTTCTTTTCCGTGTTTGGTTCTGACTCTGGGGACAGAGAGCAGACCTGTCCCAGATGACCTGAGTGGTCTGGATGGTTCGTAATTAATCAGGAGGTCACTAATGTATTTTGGCCCTTAACCTTTAAGCGCTTTATAAACCAGTAACAGGATTTTTAAATCTATTCTCTGACAGACTCGGAGCCAGTGTAAAGACCTCAGAACTGGACTGATGTGATCCATTTTGTTGGTTTTGGTGAGGACTCTAGCAGCAGCGTTCTGGATCAGCTGCAGCTGTCTGACTGATTTTTTTAGGCAGACCTGTAAAGACACTGTTACAGTAATCAAGACGACTGAAGATAGAAGCCTGGAGTTTTTCCAGGTCCTGCTGGGACATAAGTCCTCTAATTCTTGATATGTTCTTCAGGTGATAGTAGGCTGATTTTGTAATTGTCTTAATGTGGCTTTTAAAATTGAGGTCTGAGTCCATCACTATGCCCAAATTTCTTGCCTGGTCTGTGGTTTTACGTCTTACTGATTAAAGCTGATTGCTGACTCTTAGTCGCTCCTCCTTTGCTCCAAAAACAACAACCTCAGTTTTGTCTTTGTTTAGCTGGAGAAAAGTTTAGCACATCCACTCATGGATTTGCTCTATGCATTTACCCAGTGCTTTTATGGGACCGTGGTTGCCTGGCGACATTGTAATATATATTTGTGTGTCATCTGCGTAGTTATGATAACTTATTTTATTGTTTTATATAATCTGAGCTAGTGGGAGCATGTAGAGGTTAAACAGAAGAGGCCCCAGGATGGAACCTTGGGGAACTCCACAAGTAATTTTGTTTGCTCAGATTTGAAGTTACCTATAGACACGAAGAAGTCCCAGAAATTCTGGTTTACACTGTTATTTTAGAGACACACAGGCCTGAATCACACACACACACACACACACACACACACACACACACACACACACACACATACACCACAGTACTTCGGGGTTTGGTGCATTGCTCGAGGGTATTTCAGCAGCACTTGGGCTGAGCTGCTTTCACTCCCTGCTTTGCTAATGTTAACATTTAAAATTCACAGAAGCAACAAAATGTTTTTCTTTCAGGCAGAGAATCTCTAAACTTCACTTTAAAGATGAAACCTTTGAACTCCGAGTCATCAGAAAGAACGTGAGTGATAAAGAACAGATTAAAGAACATGAACCCCATCGCATTATTATCTTTATTCATATTATCATTTTAATATTATCATGTTATTATTATTGTTATGAATATGTACAGAACAAACTTCACAGGATGGAGAAAATGACAATGTGTGTGTGTTTGTGTGTGTGTCTGTGTGTGTGTGTGTGTGTGTGTGTGTGTGTGTGTGTCTGTGTGTGTGTGTGTGTGTGTGTGTGTGTGTGTGTGTGTGTGTGTGTGTGTGTCTGTGTGTGTGTGTGTGTGTGTGTGTGTGTGTGTGTGTGTGTGTGTGTGTGTGTGTGTGTGTGTGTCTCAGGGCTCAGAGACATCATTCTTCTTTCAGACACCTGGTCAGTCTGACTGTAGACGTTTGTGGAGGTGTTGTGTTGAGCATCACGTCTTCTTCAGGTCAGACTCTACGGTGGCTGACGAGGACAAACAACCCTTAAAATATGTCATATCAGAGGACATTGTTGATTGTTTGTCCTTGAAAACCCCCATTACACACACGCGCAGACACACACACACACACACACACACACACACACACACACACACACACACACACACACACACACACACACACACACACAGTTTTAGTTAGAGATATGAAATAGGTACATCAAATTGTGTGTAGTGTTGTGAAGACTCTAAAGGAGGACGATTTTATCAAATATGAATTACACACAAATGTTACCAAACTTAAAAATATACAAATAACAAAACACAAACATTTATTATTATTTGTTTCTAACAGGTATTTATTTTCTTTTGTTCAGGATGTCAGAGCGGAATCCAAAAAAACACAAAAGGTTTACACACAAATACACACACACACACACACACACACACACACACACACACACACACACACACACACACACACACACACACACACACACACACACACAACACACACACACACACACAGATGATATCTTAAAATAGAGAGAGAGATCTGTACTGAGATACAGACTCAGTTTCAAAGCTCTGAAAGACTGTGATTTTATTTTCTCTCTCTCTCTCTGTGTCTCTCTCCCTCTCTCCTCTCTCTCTCTGTCTCTATCTCTGTCTCTGTCTCTCTCTCTCTGTCTCTCTCTTTCTCTCTCTGTCTCTCTCTCTCTCTCTCTCTCTTTCTCTCTCTGTCTCTCTTTCTCTGTCTCTATCTCTGTCTCTGTCTCTCCCTCTCCCTCTCTCTCTCTCTCTCTCTCGTGCAGTGTTAGTCGTTCGCCCTCTTTCTCTCTGCGTCACTGAACTTCAGCATCAAAAAAAAAAACATCAACAAAACAACCGAAGTCTGCAAGCGACTGAAACATACAGTGCGTACACCAAATAATAATATTTATTTCATTTGACTTTCATTTTATTCTTATTTCACCTTAATTTGATCTGAGTATTCTAATTTACAATTCATGATTTCATTAATTTTATTTAGTTTCGTTTGAAAATTAGTTGTAAAGTTATTTGTTTGTCTCCGCCCCTCACCTCAACGTCAGCCAATCACAGGTGAGTGATCCAATAACTACACGACAGCGCCCCTGCTGTTCATAGGTGAGAGGGGTCTGTTGCCAATGAAAACCTTTGATGATGTCATTATGTCACATGATTAACCTGGTGTTGTTTCCTCAGGTCAGACGACGGGCCAGACCCAGACAATGTGGAGCCCAGTGCACCATGGGAAATCAGCGCCCCCCTGAGTTAACAGGGAAACAACAATTAATGGAATAATAATTAAATTAACACAGACAGTTACATATAAAAATATATAGTTTGAAATGTAATAATCATTGGTGAATTAATTAATCACATTTCTCAAACAGCGGCTTTTACCCAAAGTTTCCTCAACACCAACGAAGAAGAAAGAAAAACAAGATGGAGGACGACCACAGAGGTACGAACAAACAATGAAAAAAAAAAAAACTGACCAATTATTTTAAAATCAAGTTTTCTGTTTGTTTGTCTTAAAGGCGAGCAGAAGTCTAGATGGGGATCGACCAATCAGAAAGAAGGGCAGGAGGTGTGTGTGTGTGTGTGTGTGTGTGTGTGTGTGTGTGTGTGTGTGTATCACAAACATTTCTCAAAAATATTTTTCCAAAGGAAAGACATAAATACATTTTTAGAGTTATAAAACACATCAAATCATGTATTCTTTTTAAATAATGAAATATCTTATACGTAATATTTAATTATGAAATTACAAATATTTAAGAAGTTTAGGTGGAACATTTTCAGCCTGAAATTTGAAGGTAAAACTTTTTTGATTTAAGTTTTGGAAAACGTAGATGTTATTTTTAGGTGTTTGCACTATTTGACCACCAGGTCTCGTTCCCATGGCAACACAAGCAGTGGCAGCGAATCAGAAAAGCCGGGGAGTAACCGGGAGCGACGTAGTAGAAGTTCAAAGAATCGGTAAGAAAAACTTTAAACTCTGCCTCTTCCTGCTGATAGTCATTTCATATCCGTCTAATCTCCTTCCTGTGTTTTTATAGCGGTTGCCATGGTGACAATAAGTCCCGGTCCCGAGCCCGATCGTACGTAACACCTTCTCTTCGACCTCCTGCATGCTCGTCTCTATTTAAGGCCATGCTCTTAGTAATGTAACGGTCAGTTTAATGTGGGCTTTACTGGTCATGCTAATGCTAATTATTGCTAATGCTAGTTATCTTCTTCTCTATAGATGCAGTCCTGATGCACAAACATGGAGACACATCCAGTAAGAAAATTGTTGAAGCTGGTTGAGATCTGTGATTGGTTACCATGACAAACTAAATTAAGACATGAACAATTGAAATGCACATTTGTTTCTCAGTACACACTATTTGATATACCTAATTTATATCTCTAACTAAAACTGTGTGTGTGTGTGTGTGTGTGTGTGTGTGTGTGTGTGTGTGTGTGTGTGTGTATGTGTGTGTGTGTGTGTGTGTGTGTGTGTGAGACCAGGAAGCAGCTGGTGGAGCATGAAGGTTTAATTGACAGGCAGACAGAGGAAATTCATTTTATGGAAGTGAGGTAAGAGAGACAGGAAGGATGAAGAGAGAGGAGGAAGTTCAAGTTTTGACGTGAACTTGTTTGTAACCTACAGAGTTTTGGGAGAGCCAATTAGAAGACGCCATGCTCCAAGGGGGCGGAGACATCGACAGTGGGCATCGACTTCAAATCGAGAGTATGTGTCAATCACACTATTTCAGTCAATGATGTCATCACCTGATGACGAAACAACATGATAGCATAACAACCCTAACCCTGTGCAGAACATACATGTGCAGAACATCCAGAACATACATGTGCAGAACATACAGAACATACATGTGCAGAACAAATAGAACATACATGTGTAGAACATTCAGAACATACATGTGTAGAACATTCAGAACATACATGTGTAGAACATACAGAACATACATGTGCAGAACAAATAGAACATACATGTGCAGAACAAATAGAACATACATGTGCAGAACATACAGAACATACATGTGCAGAACATATAGAACATACATGTGCAGAACAAATAGAACATACATGTGCAGAACATACAGAACATACATGTGCAGAACATATAGAACATACATGGGCAAAACATAAAAGTGACGCCTGAGTTGTTATAAATGCGTATGTTGATGCTGTCATTGTGAATACAATTTATTTTTCAGATCAAACACCAAAATGGTTCCTCCTCTTCCTGTTACCAAAGCAACCATTACTTCAGGACATTTACCCACAATTCCCTGAGTCAAACGTCTCTTTACCAAGCATGGATCCCTGAAAGAAAGAGAGAACTACAGGGACTATCACGTAGATTATTTAAGAGTTCACTACAGAGTGTACAATAGAGTACACTTCAGAGTGTACTACAGAGTGTACTTCAGAGTGTACTTCAGAGTGTACTTCAGAGTGTACTACAGAGTGTACTTCAGAGTGTACTTCAGAGTGTACTACAGAGTGGACTACAGAGATTACTACAGAGAGTACTACAGAGTGTACTACAGAGATTACTACAGCGAGTACTACAGAGTGTACTACAGTGTACTACAGAGTGTACTTTAGAGTGTACTTCAGAGATTACTACAGAGTGTACTACAGAGTTTACTACAGAGTGTACTACAGAGATTACTACAGAGAGTACTACAGAGATTACTACAGAGGTCACTACAGAGAGTACTACAGAGAGTACTACAGAGATTACTACAGAATGTACTGCAGAGAGTACTACAGAGTGTACTACAGAGAGTACTACAGAGATTACTACAGAGTGTACTACAGAGTGTACTACAGAAATTACTACAGGGTTCACTACAGAGATTACTACAGAGAGTACTACAGAGATTACTACAGAGTTCACTACAGAGAGTACTACAGAGATTACTACAGAGAGTACTACAGAGAGTACTACAGAGTTTACTACAGTGTACTACAGCGATTACTACAGTGTACTACAGAGTGTACAACAGAGTGTACTACGTGCATGTTTTTATTACACTGTAAAAGGTTTCTTACAGTGAGAGTAAGAGAGAGCGAACTAATTGTATGTTTTTATTACTCTGTAAAACATTTCCTTCAGTATAATAAAAGTACTAAACCAACTGTGTCTGTGTTTGAATCCAAAGAGTCCGACTCTGTGTGACGTCCCTGAAGACACCAGAGGCCTTCAGTGTAAAACAGTTATTTCAGTCACGTCCTGTCAGAGAAAACTTCACAGTCTTCGAAATCCAATACTGAATGGGTCCTCCTCTTACTGTTAACAAAGCAACCATTACTTCAGGACGATTACCCACAATTCTATGAGTCAGAAATCTCTTTACCTGACATGAGTACTACTAAGAGTTCCTCTCCTCTGCAGGTTTCAGTGATTTTGGAGTTATTATTGACCCTGTGCTTTCTCTGACCCAATGTCCCTCAGCTCCACAGCCAAAACACTTCCTGGTCTCAGACAACAGAAACACTATATAATTAAAACCATTGAGTCTAAAAGAGAAGGACAGGTTCAGGGTTAGGTTTAGATGGCGAATAGAGTCTTTTAAAACCATAAACAACAGTCTGTGGTGACCCACTGCATGCTCCTAACCGTTCAGTGATTCATAGCCGAGTGAAACCATTTTAATCTGTGAGACAATCTGTCTTCCCAGACTCATAGCTGACCACTTTCCCCATCCAGTCAGCCCGGTCTCTCCACATTGTACTTCAGCATGGACACCAGCTTGATGCCATGGCGGCGGGACAGTTGCTCAAACTGGGCTGCTGGTTCTGAGTTAGCACACAGGCCTCACACACTCAGGTATACCTCCAAACTACACTAACCTAAGAAATAGCAAAACCAAAACATTAACACAAAAAAGTAAGCTAAGTAAAGTTTGCAAAAAGCTCACTCACGCTTCCAAACAATCCTCTCTCAGCTCCTTGCACACTCCATGCAGAGACAGACACAGAAATATAACTATAATAAAATTACATTGGAAGGAAACCACCAAATCACAAAGTCAATTAGAATTCTATTTGACCCCAAACAGAGAGTACAAGCTGGCAGAGTACCTGAGCGCAGTGAGGGATGTGAAACTAAGGAAAACGATGATGATGTTCAGACTGAGTGGCCGCAGTCTGGACATAGAAACAAGCTGTCACAGACAGAACTGGTTACCCAGAGAGGCCAGGCTGTGTTCACTCTGTCATCATCTAGGACAAGTGGAGACATAATCTCACTTCTTACTATACTGTAAGAAATATAAAGATTTAAGAGAGGCTTTCAGTAAACAGATCACTGATATATCCTGAGTTTAGCCATCTCTATCTATGTGGAAAGAAAAGTCAGTGTGCAGTAAAAGCTGTTAAATATATTTACTGTTACACATGAAGACAAACTACACTCAATGTTTCTCAGTAATCACACACGACTGAAGGTATGTACATCGTCCATGTGATAATAAGAAAACTGTACCCTCAGTCAGGCCTTCACAAGTCCCTGCTGAACCATCACTGGATCCACACAACCATGTGGGAGTCCCCTAAGAGAGAGAGAGAGAGAGAGAGAGAGAGAAAGAGAGAGGTTTACCTCTTGCAGAAACGTTTATCAGACTGATCATACAGCACAAAGAGGAAGAAGAAGAAGAAGAAGAAGAAGAAGAAGAAGAAGAAGAAGAAGAAGAAGAAGAAGAAGAAGAAGAAGAAAAAGAAAATAAAATAAAGGTCCTCTTAAATGGAGGATCTGTGCAGTCTGAGTGGTCTGGATCCTCTATGGGTGAGTTATGTATTCAAATTTAAAATAAGTTAAAATGATTGAATAATGTAAAGTCAATAACAGATGTTGAAATAATTTCACTTTGTCCACCTGTGTTTATTGTCTACCTGTTGATGTCAGGACTGGAATGTCACTTGGTACACCTCCAGACCTCACCTGACACAGTGTTTCCAGCACACTGTTCTGGTGTGGCTGCCCTGTGTTTACCTGTGGACCTGTTCTCCTCTTTACCTGCTCTACCTGCAGCTCCGCCCACATCCAGGAGTTATCCCACTCTCCAAGCTCTGCTGCAGCAAGACGGTAGGATATGGGCTAAAGCTGGTCTTAAACTAGTCTTAAACTGTTCTAAAGCTTGTCCAATACGGGTCTAAAGCTGGTTTTAAGTTTGTCTTAAACTGTTCTAAAGCTGGTCTTCAACTGGTCTAAAGCTGGTCTTTAGCTTCTCTTAAACTGGTCTAAAGCTGGTCTTAAGCTGGTTTTCAGCTGGTCTAAAGCTTGTCTGAAGCTGGTCTAAAGCTGGTTTTAAGTTTGTCTTAAAGGGGCTATATGTAACTTTTTACATAAATCACTTTTATCGCCCATTAATAAGCGAACGGTTAACTGATGTGAAAAAGTAGATGTTCACTGTCTATCTGTGTTGCCTGTATAAAAAGTTTCCCCGGGTCGTATTTTCCGCCAAAGCTCCAGGAAGTGACATTTTATGCACGTTCTCAACGTCCTCCTCACTCCGCTCCGCTTACAGAGATCAACAGTACAAACTCATCACACACTCCCGGTCTTCACCTCCACAGCCAGAGGCCGCCTTCCACACATTCCACAGTGTATGACCACTTACCTCCTCTGTAAACATTATGCCGGTTAATATCCAGTGTTTCACGGCTGATGATGATGCTTGTTTGTGTACGTACGAGCACGTATGACGAGCACACAAGGGAGAACGAGCAACAGGTTACTGGTGCAGTTCACCTAACGGCCATGCGGTATCGCTGCAAATGCAGTATTTTTTAAAGTTACATATAGCCCTTTTAAACTGGTCTTTATTTTGTTAATTGTACCCTGTTGTTTCCTGTCTTCCTGTGTATTTTTCTGTTGATAATCTTGAGTTTAGTTTTGAGTATTTCCTGTTTTATGTTGTAATTTTCCCCCCTGTGTATCATACCTATCATGTTTCTTCCTGCCTCTGTCCCTGCATCTCAGTTCTCTTAAATGCTGTCTCCTCACTCCTCGCTCCTTGTCCGAACCGGGAGTAGTTTTAGACCCGCCATGTTAAGGAATGTCCCAAAGCTCTTGTAACTGAAAGGAGGAGAGAGGAGCGAGGAGCGATGACCGAGGATACACGAGAGATGACTTTATGGAAGTCTTTTTACTGACAGGCACGGCCCCTTATCGAATATCACTCATTGATTGGACGCTGCAGCGGATCAGACTTCAATGAAACTTATCAACATGAGCGGAGTTTAATTACGGAGAAAAGAAAGTGTGTATAAAATACAGAGTTCATTATCGGATTATCAGTCAAAACAAATACAAATAATAAATAAACAATTCAATATTCAATCTTTTTGTCAGTAGAAATTATCCTTTTGGTTTGAAGCAGACTGGAGGTTGTTCTTCATGTACAGGTGTTTGTTATCAAGTAACAGTCGGACCAGTCTACCTCGCGTACTGTTTCCCACAATGCAAAGTGCCAGGTCAGAGATCAAAATGCCGGAGAGCAGCTGTTTGAACTTGTCGGTGGCGGTGACTGAATATCTTGCCACATTATGGGCATGAACCAATAACAAATATGACATGTTCATATATTTACAAGTCTTCCTCTGTGTTCCACCTCGGATTTTCCTGCTTTGTAGACTGTACAGTGCATGTGCCACAGCTGGACAAGCAACTGCAATTACAGGGTCCTTGGCTTGCTCTTCATATTATTCACAGCTGAGTAAAAGTTAAACCTGAATGTCTGAAAAGTATACTAAAACTTTAATAGCATGCCAATCATATTTCAACCCTGGGCATTGTGTATAAATGACAGAATATATGAGAGATTGTAGACTTGTTTTATTTTAATTATGCTAATTACCTCCAGATGGACAGATTAACCGTGCCAAGCATACTGCAAAATAACCAACGACTGGCAGTCATACTACATACTTCTGTTGAACTAAGTATGCAGTATAAAGTATATACTGCATACTGATTTAGATAGTAGTATGCAGTATGCGGTTTCGAAAACAGCCTTTGTTTCCTCCCTTCTGTGATTTTTCTATTTAGCCATGATCCTGTATCATCTGCTTTTCTCTTTGTGGCTTCCTGAGCTGTATTTATTTCCCTTTTTGTAGATTTATGGATTTTGGTTTCTTGCAAAGAGTAAGGGTTATTCTTTGGGACTTTGCTGCACGTGGGTCCATCTCTTTTTTTCGCTATCATGACATCATCAGAGCAAAGATGGACCCAGAGCCTCTTAAAAGACTGGATTTAATTTCAAAGATTAGTTATACACAGAGCATTTGTAGAATGGCTTCCGATGAGGTGAGGAGCACTGCCAACAACAAGCAGTCTACTTGGACTTGTCTTGCTTGGCAATTTTTCCTGGGACACGTGGAAGACAGAGGAAAATAATTAACCACCATGGTTCCCGTTGCCATTTTCTACTGCCACAGTCCAGCTGCCCAGAGTCTTTGCAGCCCCAGCAGCTAGTGTGCTAGCCTTCAAGCTCCTCAGAGCTTCTGCCTTCTGGCTGCCAAGAGCCTCAGCTGTTAAAAAACGGTAAACAACTGGCAGTAGGGTTGCCAGGAAGTTACTGTAAAATTAACGGTATATTGCTGTTGCTGAAATTTACAGTTTTTGTAAACACAGCAAAAAGCTGTGATTTTAAACCTTAACAGGAAAATACTGTTGAAAGAATTAACTGTTTAATACTGTTTATTTGTAGATTTTTACTGTGAATTGTAAATACTACACCTAGCTATAGATTAATTTCCTTCTACCAAAATGGACACAATATATTTAATTTCTAAACCTAGTGATTTGATAAATGATTCCTTGCATGTCAGGTTATAAAACACCATGTTTTAAAATAATAAATAAACAGTGCCTTTAAAATTGCAACTTAAAATGTTAAGACAAATGATAAAACTTCAAACTGTCTTCTCAAACCACATCTGTCTTTATTGAAACTGTAACAAAAACAAAGAAAATACACTTTAATAACATGAAGGTTAAATAGGCAAAAAATCTAGCACAAATATTTACATTAAGACATTTAGCAAAGGCCATTTCAAATGTATAAAAAGTGCATAAAAGAGTTTTGGTGGATACATTTTAAACAGAGAAGTGAAAAAGAACTTCAAAAGAACAGTTTTATAACAGAATAAACAACCTGTCCTCTGAGGGAAACTGGGTCCCTGGACCTGCACCTCCCTTTGATTTCTCCTTCCAGACTGAAACTGAAAAAACAACATTAGAACAAAAGCAGCTCCAGCTGAACAGTGAACATTATCATATGCACAATCCTTTCTGAATATTCTCCATATACAAAGAAGTAAATTAAAAGTATGAAGTAAAATTAGTATGAATAAAAATAAGTCCTGGAATTACTTTAAGTACATGAATTCAGGATGTATGGCAGAAGCTTTATGTGTTAAAACAGTAAAAAACTAAAAATATGTTCCAGGTCCATTCTGACAGTCTCACTAAAGTTTCCTTTTAAACATTTTCAAATACTGTATATTATACTATTTATACTATGGCCATATTGCCTAGTAGGCCCAGCTAATCATCATTTCTAATTCAATATTCAATCAATAGTCAGTGTCAGTTGAAGCTGAAACAAAGAAAAAGTGACTGTCGATGTTAGCTAACCGTACCATTACCACCAGGCAAGCAAGTCAAGTTCATTATAGCCCAGCCACTTAGTTAACCACATTACAAGAAAATGTTTAGTTTTTTGTCCCATTTAGCAACTGTTAAGATCTGTATTTCAAGCTAATGTTAGCTGGCAAAGAATTAACTCACCGTGTGTGTGTCTGCCTGCAGTGTTTCTGTGTAATTTCCAAATCTATCTAACGTTAATCTTACAAATGACTTCAAACTTAGTAAGTGATGGTTTTTGCCAATTCTAACTAGCAAAGCAATAAGGCACTCACCTCTTAATTGTCAGGATGGAGATGGATGACAATCGGGCAAAGCAGAATTCCATGCCATGAAGGCCTCTGGTCGTCAACTAGAACGACTCTAAAAAATTATCTGGCCTCACTGTCAACCTGGAGGCCTACAGAGACCACACTGGCTCAGGCTACATCAGCATCTTCATCCTCCTAAACCTCTCTGCAGCTTTTGACACAGTCTCCCACACCATCCTACTCAACCGCCTATCTGAACACCTTGGCATCTCTGGTACAGCTCTCTCTAACAGGCAACAGTTTGTCTTCATCAGCAACTCCAGTTCCTCCTCAGCCCCACTTAACCAAGGAATGCTGCAAGGCTCTCTTCTTTTCATCATTTACATGCTCCCCCTTAGTCTGATAATCCGCCAACATGGGCTAAATTGTAATTCCTACGCCGATGACAAGCATCTCTACCTCAACACCCTTCCATCCACAAAGCTCCTAGTGACTAGTCAACTGCCTGCAGGACATTAAAACCTGGATTTCTTCTAACCTCCTCAAACTCAACAGCAGCAAGACTGAGCTCATGGTTGTGGCCCCCAAGCTACTTCTCAGGAAGGTTGAAGATCTCCAACTCTCTGTGGATGACCGCTCCATCTGCCCTTCACCCAAGGTCCACAACTTCCACCACCACCCATCACCAAATCCGCCTTTTTCCACCTCAAAAATATCTAAAAACTCCAGCCCTCACTCTCCATGCTCTAGCCCCACCGTACCTTTGGGGCGGCCGTAGCTCAGTCTGTAGGGACTTGGGTTGGGAACCGGAGGGTCGCCAGCTCAAGTCCCAGTGCGGACCAAATATGGAAGTTGGTCTGGTAGCTGGAGAGGTGCCAGATCGCTTCCTGAGCACTGCCGATGTGCCCCTGAGCAAGTTACCAAACCCCTTCCCCACCACCAGCCCAGCTCCGTCACTCTGACATCTCTCCATTAGTGCATAGCCATAGGATCCTGTTTATGCATGTGTGTATATTTCAACCTATGTGTGTGTTGGTTGCATGACTTACAGAGTGTAAAAACAGAATTTCCCCTTGCGGGATCAATAAAGTAAATCTTAATCTTAATCTTAACCTCATCGACTCCCTACACCCCATCCCAACAGCTGCAATCCTCAGCCACAGGCCTGCTCTCCATGACCCACACCAAACTGCCGAAATCTGCACTGCTGCGGCTCTTGACATTTTCAAAAATCTTCTCAAACACCATCTGTTCACCAAAGCATTCGGCCTCCGTTAACACCCCCCTTCCCCCAACCCAGTTCTTTTTTCTTTCTTCTTCTTTCCTTCATTTGTTTTTTTTGTGTTATTTGTTTGTTTGTTTGTTTTATTTATTTTCTATTGTCTCCTATAACTGCCCCCCTTTCTTTAAGACTGTAAAGCATCCTTGGGTTTCTTGTAAGGCACTTTATAAGTCTAAGCTATTATTGTTATTATTATTGATGTTTTTGTATTAAACGTGATTTATTTGGTTAAAACCTGGTTCCTGTGGACTCCTTGCAGCTACTGGGGCTCAGTCTGGCATCCTTTGGTCTTTTGGAGATCTTTTACATCCTAGTTAGGAAGAACGAGGAGATTCAGAAGCACCTCTTGGTCATGATTGGTCCACTGATCCGGAGCCTCACTCTCGTAGGTTACTGCTTCACGTTACTTTGGCAACTGTTAAATCCACCACGCACGGAGAGGACGGTCGTGGTGAGGAAGTTCGCCTGGAAACAGTATCTGCTCTTCCTTGTAGGTTCTTGCTGTTGTGATCATCCAGGTGGAGCGGATGAAGGGCAATCGATCCTCTGTCATCCTTTTCCTCTTCTGGACTCTTCTGGTTCTTTGTTCCCTGGTTCCTCTGAAGGTCGATATCGAGCAGATTATTGATCAGGTAATATTGATCTGTTGTTCACCCTAACCCCTGACTTTGGAAGACCTTTAGTTGGACTCACCTTAACCCTGGATGGAGGTTTGGAGGTTCTGTTTGGTTTTTATAAACATCAGTGAGGATGAGATGTGGTCTGAGGTCTCCAGGTGGACTCCATTGTTCTGTACTACAAACAGAGTTCATCATACCAATGTCATCTTTGGTTATCTTTGGTAGTCTTACGATTACATTTCCTGTGAGTTTTCTGTCTTAACTGTTAATCTGTCATGATCTGTCATCATGTGTGGGCTCTCTCACATTTCACAGATCGTTTTTAAATCTATAACGTGTTCCCCGCTGTAGTCTCTCTCTCATGCGATTGGTTCTGTCTTCGTTTGTTCCTCTACATCCATTCTCACCTCCTGCTTTCTGAAGAGACAGCGTCCACGTGTTGGAAACATCTCAGTTCGTTTCTCTCAGTTCTCTCTTTCAGTTGCAGAATTTCACATTCAGTGAAAAGATTCTCTTGAGGGTGTCAGGTCTAAATCTAGAGCAGATGAATTTAAAGGTAGTGTGTGTGTGACAGAGCAGATCGTATGTCGCTGATAATGAAGTCAAAGAAGAGTCCGTTCTTTCGGTATCTGAGGAAAGAATCTTAATTAAAACCATTTAATAAGAAGCTACTCAATTCTGAAATGAAAACTTAGATCTGCACTTTCTTCAGTTTTTTGGTTTATTACACTGAGGTGTAAAACTGGATTCTGATTGGTTAATTACAGCATTCAAAGGTCTGTCATTTGTCTACAGCAGAGGGTTCCTTTCTATGGACACATCACAGATTCTGAAGGACTAACTGTAGTTATATCAAGAAGAAAAATGATTAGGACAGCACTCCAAACAGACAATTACCTCTAACACACACAGGTGGGATTAATTTAAACTTAGTCTACTAGTCCATAATAGGTACTAGTCCATCCCAGCAGAGGGAGTCTCCACCACACAATATGTTGTTTATTTGTTAACATGTTCATGTAATTTATATTACGTGGGTATGACAAAATGCGAATCAAAGACGCAGATATGTGAACACAAATCTTATAGACGTAATGATGATGATAAATCATTAGTAGCCAGACGTTTGAATGGTTATAATCTCACTCTGAGTGACTTCCATTATATGGGTATTGAAGTTGTAAATATGCCACGCAGAGGTGGGGACAGAGACAGAATCCTATGGAAGTGACGTCAACTGGCTGCATCCGTCCTCGTGTTTAATTTTTTTTTTGTTTATCTTTATTCAAGAAGAGTAATCCTCATATACAGTCAGGTAAACAAAAAACAATATCACAATGTAAATTAAGTAAAAGATTAAATAACTAAATTCTACATTTCTACAATTCTACAATTCACTTAGCAGATGCTTTTATCCAAAGCGACGTACATCAGAGAGTAAGTACAACACAAGCAAGGATCTAGAAAAAAGGGAACAATGTCAGTAAGAGCAAACGATCAGCTTTGAGTCTGATTGGACACACAGGTGTTGACAGGCATTGCACAGAGGCAAGCACAACATTGACGGCAGTTCTTGAGAGCTCAGTATAGAAACCATCTTATAAGTCATCGTTATCAAACAAAAACAATCGTCACAACCGTCATCATCATCAATGATATAAGTTAGTAGGTGATCATAAAGAGCTGGGTCTTTAGCTTTTTCTTAAAGATGCAGAGGGATTCTGCAGATCGAATGGAGTTTGGAAGTTCATTCCACCACCGGGGGGCGACACCGGGGGTTGTTAACTAAAAGTCGTGATTTCAGTCGGGACTTTAACTCTAGATTAAAAACGAATTTAATTAATCCATCCTCGTTTGTTTTGATTTGGAGCTGCTCGTGAAGTGACGATTTATGTTTAACTTCGCACAGCATTGTGGGAGTTAAAATACAACCAAACCATACTGAACAAAACCAGGAAGTTAGTATCCATGCTGAAATGTTCAGAATACTGAAACCACCTACTGAAAAGTACGCACTGCATACTGAACTGGGACTATTCGGAAAGGGCCAGAAACTTTTATCTAGTGAGTTGGGTTGACCCCGTTGCTCGGTATGACACATTTTTTCAGAAGCTGTGATTGGTTAATCTAAAATAAATTGATGGGTTGAAAAAGTCAACAATAGAATCTAGACAGACATTTTGTTATTATAACTCTGAAATGATCATCTGTGTGATCATTTGTAAGACATACTTTAAAAGTATAACGTCTACAAGATGTTTGAAATCACATGACCACTGCTTCACACGCTGATCGTTACCTCAGCAGGTAAAGAGTTAATCAGTGATGTGACACACCTGTGGAGGTAAACACATGAAGAGAAACTCAACATGTTTCACTTTGTACTGAATGAAGTCAGAGATGGATTAAAATTAATGCATGAATCATTTAATTTGTTCGACTATGAGTCAATAATATTCTTCATGTCGTGTTTGGAGAACATTTCTCTGTTTCCTCCTCAGCTTGAGAAACTCTTCATCCTGTTAAAAGTCCTCACTCCTCCTGATGAGCTCTCTGAAGGACAGAGACACTTTGAGAATGACTTTCATCTTTACAAAGATCGAGTCTGAACTTTGAGGGGAAACTCTGAGAAAATGTCCTGACTCTAAGAATGTTCTTAGAATCAGCCACTAGGAGTGACTCTTCGTGAATACGACCACTGATAATAAAGCAAACCCTGTTTACTGTTAAGGAACTAGAACCATCAAAAGGCTGACCTCTGACCTCTGTGGTTTCAGGGATTTTCCTCTGATGCTGTTCGTTTCGTTGCGTTCTTCATCCGATTTTCTCTCCAGCTCATTGAGCTCGTCCTGAGCTGCTTCTCTGACCGCCGACAGCTGTCAAAAAAACACACCTACTCCCAGGTAACACACACCTACGCCCAGGTACACACCTTCACCCAGGTAACACACACCTACGCCCAGGTACACACCTACGCCCAGGTACACACCTACGCCCAGGTACACGCCTTCACCCAGGTACACACCTACGCCCAGGTAACACACACCTACACCCAAGTACACACCTACGCCCAGGTACACACCTTCACCCAAGTAACACACACTTACGCCCAGGTACACACACCTACGCCCAGATACACACCTTCACCCAGGTAACACACACCTATGCCCAGGTAACACACAACTTCACCCAGGTAAGACACACCTACGCCCAGGTAACACACACCTACACCCAGGTAACACACACCTACGCCCAGGTACACACCTTCACCCAGGTACACACCTTCACCCAGATAATACACACCTTCGCCCAGGTACACACCTTCGCCCAGGTACACACCTTCGCCCAGGTAACACACACCTACGCCCAGGTACACACCTTCACCCAGGTACACACACCTACGCCCAGTACACATCTTCACCCAGGTACACACCTTCACCCAGGTAACACACACCTACGTCCAGGTACACACCTTCACCCAAGTAACACACACCTACGCCCCAGGTACACACCTTCACCCAGGTACACACTCTTAAAGCCAGGTAACACACACCTACGCCCAGGTACACACCTACGCCCATGTAACACACACCTACGCCCAGGTACACACCTTCACCCAGGTACACACTCTTAAAGCCAGGTAACACACACCTACGCCCAGGTACACACCTTCACCCAGGTACACACACTTAAAGCCAGATAACACATCAACTTGTGTCTTTAAAAGATTTCTTTCTTTTCTCGCCATAGAATCAGTGTCCAGAAGAAGACGCCTCTTTTCTCTCCAGGTTTTTCTTCTTCTGGTTCAGCAGGTATGAAGGTCAAAGTTGAATAATGAAGGTCAGAGATGAAACACTGAAGGCTGCCCTAAACCTTTTCTTCATTAATGAATGAATGTATTACACAAATAGGGACAGTGCACATTAATGTACATTGACATGTAAATATGACAGATTGTAGTTTAATTTCCTTTGGCAGGACTACAGATCACCTCCATATTTATTCTATAATCTGTTAACATATTATTGTATTATTATTCTATTTTATAAATGTTATTTTATTATTATTATTTTATATCCATGGGTTGTGGTAAATGATCAGATGAGGAACATTCAGCTGTTTCTACACCTGCTAATAGTAATAATGATAATAATATAAACATTTGTCATTGTGTTTTTTTCACGCTCAGTTTGGTGCTTCGAGGTTACCAGCGCCCCCTACAGTCTGAAGACTTGTGGTCTCTACGGGACGAGGACTCATCACTGAGGATCATGACGGACCTGGAGAAGTTCTGGACTCGGAATTGCAAACTGCTGCAGTATGAAAGTTTTTATGACTGAAATATTGAAAAGAGATGTTAAATGTAATTACACAGTGAGGAGGTCGACAGGTGTTGTACAACAGGCTGGCACAAAGTCAAAGCAGGTGAGCAGCTCTAAAGTGAGATGATTGAAGTTTCTGAACAGAAGGAAACAGAAACATCTTTGAGGGAGTCCAAATATTACAGAGAGCAAAGGTAAAGGTCTCTGGTGAGAATAAAGCTTGTGTTATAAATGGACAGTGTAGCATCCAAAATGATGCATGCAGAAAGTTAATAATAAGGATCAACATGAAACATTAACATTGAAGAATATGAATCACGATCAAAATGCTACACACCACCCTGAGATCAGGATGATCTGAAGGACGACCAGAGGTACTATCAGGGTTAGGGGATATGTTTCAGACTCAAGTTGACCAGGCAGAAACCTGGATCAGAACCAGACTCGTGTAGAACAGACAGAAACCTGGAACAGAACCAGACTCATGATGAACAGAAAGAAACCTGGATCAGAACCAGACTCATGTAGAACAGACAGAAACCTGGATCAGAACCAGACACATGATGAACAGAAAGAAACCTGGAACAGAACCAGACTCATGTAGAACAGACAGAAACCTGGATCAGAACCAGATTCATGTAGAGCAGACAGAAACTTGGATCAGAACCAGACTCATGTTGAACAGACAGAAACCTGGAACAGGAACCAGACTCATTATGAACAGAAAGAAACCTGGAGCAGAACTACAAAAGGACATGCTGGGACATTGAGTCTTTCTTCCTTCCACATAAACCGCTCCATGTTTGACTACATGAAGACCAGTTGAAGTTTTGACCACATAGTTTCACAAGCAGAAGAAGAAACAACTAACATCACTTCAATCTGTGTTTGTTTGACAAAGTTTGGGGAGTGTGAAGGTGTAGCTAATGGTGACATTAAACAGCTGCGAAATAAAGGTCAATCCAGGGGGTACAGCCCCCCCCCCCCAAAGGTCATACATTCTATTTGTTTTTGTTCTACAGGGACGAGCCAGCTACGCCAGGACCATACCCGTCCAGCTCCCAGTCCTGGTTTGAACATTCTGCCACTCTGACAGAGAAAACCCACCTGCTGACGAAGAACCAGAAGGGGCAGGGCTATGGCCTTGTTCTCCTGCGTGCTGTGGGACGGAGCTTCGGGCTTTACTTCATGTGTGGGACTCTGTGTCTCCTTTTGCATGATGCCTTCATGTTCACAGTGCCCCAGGTGCTCAGGTAAGTCAAATGGGTCACCGAGGTCATACAGAGGTCACACCAAGGTCACAGAGGTAACACAGAGGTCATATAGAGTTCACACAGAGGTTACACAGATCAAAGTGGTCACACAGAGGTCATATAAAGGTCGCACAGAGGTCACATAGAGGTCACAGAGGACACATAGAGGTCACACCGAGATAACAGATCAAAGAGGTTGCAGAGATCACACAGAGGTCATATAGAGTTCACACAGGGTTTAGGGGTTTATAGTTGTGTGTCGTTGTTTACAATTGACTGTTGTTGTTGTTTACAGCTGACTGTTGTTCACAGCTGACTGTTATTGTTTTTCACAGCTGACTTTTGTTGTTCACAGCTGACTGTTGTTGTTCACAGCTGACTGTTGTTGTTGTTCACAGCTGATGGTTGTTGTTGTTGTTCACAGCTGACTGTTGTTGTTGTTCACAGCTGACTGTTGTTGTTGTTCACAGTTGACTGTTGTTGTTTAAAGCTGACTTTTGTTGTTGTTCACAGCTGACTGTTGTTGTTGTTCACAGTTGACTGTTGTTGTTTAAAGCTGACTTTTGTTGTTGTTCACAGCTGACTGCTGCTGTTGTTGTTCACAGCTGATGGTTGTTGTTGTTGTTGTTGTTCACAGCTGACTGTTGTTGTTGTTCACAGCTGACTCTTGTTGTTGTTTACAGCTGACTTTTGTTGTTGTTCACAGCTGACTGTTGTTGTTGTTCACAGCTGACTGTTGTTGTTGTTCACAGCTGATGGTTGTTGTTGTTGTTGTTCACAGCTGACTGTTGTTGTTGTTTACAGCTGACTGTTGTTGTTGTTCACAGTTGACTGTTGTTGTTTAAAGCTGACTTTTGTTGTTGTTCACAGCTGACTGCTGTTGTTGTTGTTCACAGCTGATGGTTGTTGTTGTTGTTCACAGCTGACTGTTATTGTTGTTCACAGCTGACTCTTGTTGTTTACAACTGACTGTTGTTGTTGTTCACAGTTGACTGTTGTTGTTGTTGTTGTTGTTGTTTAAAGCTGACTTTTGTTGTTGTTCACAGCTGACTGTTGTTGTTCACAGCTGATGGTTGTTGTTGCTGTTGTTCTTCACAGCTGACTGTTGTTGTTGTTCACAGCTGATGGTTGTTGTTGTTGTTCACAGCTGACTCTTGTTGTTGTTTACAGCTGACTTTTGTTGTTGTTCACAGTTGACTGTTGTTGTTGTTGTTTAAAGCTGACTTTTGTTGTTGTTCACAGCTGACTGTTGTTGTTGTTCACAGCTGACTGTTGTTGTTGTTCACAGCTGACTGTTGTTGTTGTTGTTTAAAGCTGACTATTGTTGTTGTTCACAGTTGACTGTTGTTGTTGTTGTTGTTCACAGCTGACTGCTGTTGTTGTTGTTCACAGCTGATGGTTGTTGTTGTTGTTCACAGCTGACGGTTGTTGTTGTTGTTCACAGCTGACTGTTATTGTTGTTCACAGCTGACTCTTGTTGTTTACAACTGACTGTTGTTGTTGTTCACAGTTGACTGTTGTTGTTGTTTAAAGCTGACTTTTGTTGTTGTTCACAGCTGACTGCTGTTGTTGTTGTTCACAGCTGATGGTTGTTGTTGTTGTTCACAGCTGACTGTTATTGTTGTTCACAGCTGACTCTTGTTGTTTACAACTGACTGTTGTTGTTGTTCACAGTTGACTGTTGTTGTTGTTTAAAGCTGACTTTTGTTGTTGTTCACAGCTGACTGCTGTTGTTGTTGTTCACAGCTGATGGTTGTTGTTGCTGTTGTTCTTCACAGCTGACTGTTGTTGTTGTTCACAGCTGACTACTGTTGTTGTTGTTCACAGCTGATGGTTGTTGTTGTTGTTCACAGCTGACCGTTGTTGTTGTTCACAGCTGACTATTGTTGTTGTTCACAGTTGACTGTTGTTGTTGTTTAAAGCTGACTTTTGTTGTTGTTCACAGCTGACTGTTGTTGTTGTTCACAGTTGACTGTTGTTGTTTAAAGCTGACTTTTGTTGTTGTTCACAGCTGATGGTTGTTGATGTTGTTCACAGCTGACTGTTGTTGTTGTTGTTCACAGCTGACTCTTGTTGTTGTTTACAGCTGACTTTTGTTGTTGTTTACAGTTGACTGTTGTTGTTGTTGTTGTTTAAAGCTGACTTTTGTTGTTGTTCACAGCTGACTGTTGTTGTTGTTCACAGTTGACTGTTGTTGTTTAAAGCTGACTTTTGTTGTTGTTCACAGCTGATGGTTGTTGATGTTGTTCACAGCTGACTGTTGTTGTTGTTGTTCACAGCTGACTCTTGTTGTTGTTTACAGCTGACTTTTGTTGTTGTTTACAGTTGACTGTTGTTGTTGTTGTTGTTTAAAGCTGACTTTTGTTGTTGTTCACAGCTGACTGATGTTGTTGTTCACAGCTGACTGTTGTTGTTGTTCACAGCTGACTGTTGTTGTTGTTCACAGCTGACTGTTGTTGTTGTTTAAAGCTGACTGTTGTTGTTGTTCACAGTTGACTGTTGTTGTTGTTGTTTAAAGCTGACTTTTGTTGTTGTTCACAGCTGACTGCTGTTGTTGTTGTTGTTCACAGCTGATGGTTGTTGTTGTTGTTCACAGCTGACTGTTATTGTTGTTCACAGCTGACTCTTGTTGTTTACAACTGACTGTTGTTGTTGTTCACAGTTGACTGTTGTTGTTGTTTAAAGCTGACTTTTGTTGTTGTTCACAGCTGACTGCTGTTGTTGTTCACAGCTGATGGTTGTTGTTGTTCACAGCTGACTGTTATTGTTGTTCACAGCTGACTCTTGTTGTTTACAACTGACTGTTGTTGTTGTTCACGGTTGACTGTTGTTGTTGTTGTTTAAAAATGATTTTTGTTGTTGTTCACAGCTGACTGTTGTTGTTGTTCACAGCTGATGGTTGTTGTTGCTGTTGTTCTTCACAGCTGACTGTTGTTGATGTTCACAGCTGACTGTTGTTGTTGTTTAAAGCTGACTGTTGTTGTTGTTCACAGCTGACTGTTGTTGTTGTTTACAGCTGACTGTTGTTGTTGTTTACAGCTGACTGTTGTTGTTGTTGTTCACAGTTGACTGTTGTTGTTCACAGCTGACTGTTGTTATTTACAGCTGACTGTTGTTGTTCACAGCTGACTGTTGTTGTTCACAGCTGACTGTTGTTGTTGTTCACAGCTGATGGTTGTTGTTGTTGTTCACAGCTGACTGTTGTTGTTGTTGTTGTTCACAGTTGACTGTTGTTGTTTACAGCTGACTGTTGTTGTTGTTCACAGCTGACTGTTGTTGTTCACAGCTGACTGTTGTTATTTACAGCTGACTGTTGTTGTTCACAGCTGACTTTTGTTGTTGTTCACAGCTGACTGTTGTTGTTGTTCACAGCTGACTGCTGTTGTTGTTGTTGTTCACAGCTGATGGTTGTTGTTGTTGTTCACAGCTGACTGTTATTGTTGTTCACAGCTGACTCTTGTTGTTTACAACTGACTGTTGTTGTTGTTCACAGTTGACTGTTGTTGTTGTTTAAAGCTAACTTTTGTTGTTGTTCACAGCTGACTGCTGTTGTTGTTCACAGCTGATGGTTGTTGTTGTTCACAGCTGACTGTTATTGTTGTTCACAGCTGACTCTTGTTGTTTACAACTGACTGTTGTTGTTGTTCACGGTTGACTGTTGTTGTTGTTGTTTAAAAATGATTTTTGTTGTTGTTCACAGCTGACTGTTGTTGTTGTTCACAGCTGATGGTTGTTGTTGCTGTTGTTCTTCACAGCTGACTGTTGTTGATGTTCACAGCTGACTGTTGTTGTTGTTCACAGCTGATGGTTGTTGTTGTTGTTCACAGCTGACTGTTGTTGTTGTTGTTGTTCACAGTTGACTGTTGTTGTTTACAGCTGACTGTTGTTGTTGTTCACAGCTGACTGTTGTTGTTCACAGCTGACTGTTGTTATTTACAGCTGACTGTTGTTGTTCACAGCTGACTTTTGTTGTTGTTCACAGCTGACTGTTGTTGTTGTTCACAGCTGACTGTTGTTGTTGTTGTTGTTCACAGTTGACTGTTGTTGTTTACAGCTGACTGTTGTTGTTGTTCACAGCTGACTGTTGTTGTTCACAGCTGACTGTTGTTATTTACAGCTGACTGTTGTTGTTCACAGCTGACTTTTGTTGTTGTTCACAGCTGACTGTTGTTGTTCACAGCTGACTGTTGTTGTTGTTCACAGCTGATGGTTGTTGTTGTTGTTCACAGCTGACTGTTGTTGTTGTTCACAGCTGACTGTTGTTGTTCACAGTTGACTGTTGTTGTTGTTCACAGTTGACTGTTGTTGTTTAAAGCTGACTTTTGTTGTTGTTCACAGCTGACTTTTGTTGTTGTTCACAGTTGACTGTTGTTGTTTAAAGCTGACTTTTGTTGTTGTTCACAGCTGACTGCTGCTGTTGTTGTTCACAGCTGATGGTTGTTGTTGTTGTTGTTCACAGCTGACTGTTGTTGTTGTTCACAGCTGACTCTTGTTGTTGTTTACAGCTGACTTTTGTTGTTGTTCACAGTTGACTGTTGTTGTTGTTGTTGTTTAAAGCTGACTTTTGTTGTTGTTCACAGCTGACTGATGTTGTTCACAGCTGACTGTTGTTGTTGTTCACAGCTGACTTTTGTTGTTGTTCACAGCTGATGGTTGTTGTTGTTCACAGCTGACTGTTGTTGTTTAAAGCTGACTTTTGTTGTTGTTCACAGTTGACTGTTGTTGTTGTTTAAAGCTCACTTTTGTTGTTGTTCACAGCTGACTGCTGTTGTTGTTGTTCACAGCTGATGGTTGTTGTTGTTGTTCACAGCTGACTGTTATTGTTGTTCACAGCTGACTCTTGTTGTTTAAAGCTGACTTTTGTTGTTGTTCACAGCTGACTGTTGTTGTTCACAGCTGATGGTTGTTGTTGCTGTTCTTCACAGCTGACTGTTGTTGTTGATCACAGCTGACTGTTGTTGTTGTTGTTGTTTAAAGCTGACTTTTGTTGTTGTTCACAGCTGACTGTTGTTGTTGTTTACAGCTGACTGTTGTTGTTGTTGTTGTTGTTGTTGTTCATAGCTGACTTTTCTTGTTGTTTACAGCTGACTGTTGTTGTTGTTGTTGTTCACAGTTGACTGTTGTTGTTTACAGCTGACTGTTGTTGTTGTTCACAGCTGACTGTTGTTGTTCACAGCTGACTGTTGTTATTTACAGCTGACTGTTGTTGTTGTTCACAGCTGACTGTTGTTGTTCACAGCTGACTGTTGTTGTTTACAGCTGACTGTTGTTGTTGTTCACAGCTGACTGTTGTTGTTGTTTACAGCTGGCTGTTGTTGTTGTGTACAGCTGACTGTTGTTGTTATTGTTGTTGTTGTGTATAGCTGATTGTTGTTGTTGTTGTTGTTGTGTACAGCTGACTGTTGTTGTTGTTGTGTACAGCTGACTCTTGTTGTTGTTTACAGCTGACTGTTGTTGTCCTCAGCTTGCTGCTGGGATTCATGCGGGACAGAGACGCTGAGATGTGGAAAGGCTTCCTGTTTGCCTCGCTGCTCTTCCTGCTGTCCTGCCTTCAGTCGCTGCTGCACCATCAGTACATGTTTTATTGTTTCACTGTGGGGATGAGGCTGAAGACGGCCATCATGGGCCTCGTCTACAGGAAGGTAAAAACACAGTGTGTGTTTGTGTTTGTTTACTTATAGTCTAGGTCTGCGTGTGTAGATGAAAGAGTCTTCTAATAATTCATCATCCATCACAATAATGATGGATAATTCAAATTAAGACGTTCCATGCAACAGGACAACAAAGATTCTATTTCATTCTGAAAATTCTTCTCTCCTGTTGAACCCTGAATTACCCAGAATGCAACTTCACTTGCTGATGGCATGAGTGGGGGGAAGGAGACGATTTTTCAAGTTTTAGCTTTGAATGGTTAAGCGAGGATGTTTCATCTGTAAAACACTGTAAAAAATCACATCAAAAATCAACACTGATCCTTACTGACTAACATGTTGTTAATAAAGTTTTCTATATTTAAATCCTCAGTGTCTGGTGATCAGTAGTGCAGCGCGGCGTGGCTGCACTGTGGGAGAAATCATAAATCTGGTTTCAGCGGACACTCAGAAGCTCATGGATTTTGTGGTTTATTTCAATAGCATCTGGATCGCCCCCATAGAGATCGCACTGTGCTTCTACTTCCTGTGGCAGGTTAAAAACAATTCAATAAATACGCCTTTTTTGCCTTTTGGCTTGATTGATTAGATGACTGACTGACTGACTGAATGATTGATTGATTGATTGGTTGACCGATTGAAAGGTTAATTGGTTAATTGACTGACTGATTGATTGACAGCTCCTGGGTCCATCAGCTCTGGCCGGTATCACTGCTGTTGTTCTGATCTTCCCTTTGAACGGCTTCATCGCTAAAATTAGAAGCAAGCTTCAGGTGAAACATTTATTCATTTTTATATTAGATCTTCTTCCTGAGTTCACATTGAATCCAAATGTTTTCTGCTAATCAGTAAGTGTTCAATCAATTAAATTGAATAAAAATGAATTTACGGATCATTGTCTGTTTGTCAGGAGGTTCAGATGACATTTTTGGATGGTCGAATCAAACTGATGAATGAGATCCTGAGTGGTGTAAAGATCCTGAAGTTTTATGCCTGGGAGGAAGCATTCCTACAACGAGTTTTCACCCTGAGAGACGGAGAACTCCAGGCCCTAAAGAAATCTCAGATCCTTTACTCCGTCTCTCTGGCCTCCTTCAACTCGTCGTCCTTCCTGGTGGGTCTGGATTTACTCCTGGTCTGTTGAACTCAAACTAACTCCTGATTTCATGTTTCTGTAGTTTAAGGATATTTATTGCAGTAGAACATAGAAATGTTCAAATGTTATCAAATGTTGTCAAATGCTCAAAGGCTAACGCAAGTGAACGTCAAACTGGATCAGTACTCATTGGCTGACAGACAGAAAAGATCTCCTGTGAAAAAAACATCTGGGGCGCTGGTGGCGCAGTGGTTAGTCCATGTATGGAGGCTGTAGTCCTCAAAGCGGGCAGCCCAGGTTCAAATCCAGCCTGTGGCTCCTTTCCCGCATGTCATTCCCTACTCTCTCTCTCCCTGATTTCCAGCTCTATCCACTGTCCTATCTCTCCATTAAAGGCACAAAAGCCAAAAAAATTAATAAAAAATAAAAATAAAATAAAAAGACATTTGGGCAAAATAGAGGGCTTACAGCTTGTCTATAGGTTGAAAATTATTATTATTTCAAAATTTAGAAATGCATGTATTCTTTATTAAGAATTGCTTTGTCTTATCTATTTTTATATATTTATCTTTAATTGTTTGCATTGGGCTATATCAAGATTTGGTCTCTCCTTTCAAAGAGCTATGTGGCTGAGCTGAGCTATGTACAAGCTGGCAGAGAAGAGACAGGCAGGTTTTAGAGAATCTAGCATAAGCTTTTGACTACATTATAAAATGCTGATTCAGCATTCCAAAAACAGACTCATACTTTGAACACCATTCAATTGGAAACAATGCCATGGCAACAGGACAAGAGACAAGACTTCATCTGTAATGTCTTTATCAAATGCAAAGCATTAAAAAAGCAAAGTATGAAGACTTAAAGGGATGCTTCACCCGTTGAAACATGAATCTGTATTGACATTGGGTCATATACTGTGTGTAGTAGAAATGTGAAATACATTTTGAAGTTGGTGCCTTCTTGACCAAGAAAAGGCAGAAAGTGTCTTTTTGGTTTATGTGGATGAAAGACACTAACTCCCAGAATGCACAGCAGGTCTTGTGCCTTAACTGCTGCCTCCTGTTCCTCCAGCTGCCTCAACTGCTCTCCACTAGATTGCGGCTCGTAGAGATAGCCACAAACCTTCGAGCACAAGACCTTCAAAATTCCCTTCATCCATATCAGTTTGAAGTTGAAACATACTTTCCGCCATTATTCTTATCAGCTTTCTCCATAGAGCCTGTTAGCATAGCTTCCAAGCAATATGGCGGACGTTAAGTTTTGTTTCTGGGAGCTGTTTATACTAGAGGTAGAGGAATCAGAAGGGGCTAATGAGAGAGTCTTTAATAAGAATACCTGATGGGAATCCTTGAACAAAACCAAAAATTTGTAAATTAACAACACATCCAAAAGGGTGCCCTGACCAAACTTTGGAAAGACCTTGAATATTTGATTTTTTGACTTCTTGTTTGCAGGACAATGGCTTCCTGCACTTATGCATACATTACATATATATACTAAATATAAATGAAATATTTAAAAAAAACCTGAGAGAATACACTGTGCTTTGGTAGATGGGTTAAGGCATTTACCACTGGATGTTTTGGTGAGAAATAAGATTTGGAAGTGGACAGTTTTTACAGCGAGGATCGTAAAGAGAGGAAGATCAGGTTTGGAAAAGACCCACAGATACACAGACGTGACGTTGTACATTTGAACTAATAAGTGAAGGTGAACTACAGACCAGTCTAACCTTTGAATGTTTTAATCTCTTGTAGAGCACAAAATGTTTGAGACACTACTATGACTACAGCAGTGCTAGACCTTATATAATCTTTGTTATAAAGGCCTATATATGTTATTTGATTTCCCCCCCCAACCCCTCTCTCTCCATCTCAATCCTTCATGTTAACAGATGGGACACGGGTTAGTCAATAGAATCAAAAAACATGTGAAGCCGACATCTCTTCTGTTACTAAAAACTAGTTTCTTTCTAAATATTGAGACGGAGCCATCACTACATTGATGTGTGTTTGTGTATGTTTTGTTTTGCTTTGTGTTTGTGTTTGTTAATATTGAAAAAAAAAAACAAGTTTCCTTCAAAAATCATGGTCATGATCATCGAACTTAAAGTTTAAATTAAAACCTGTAAGAAATACAAACATTTTGTTTCATTGTTTTTAAATCTGATTAATATTTATAACTATGACTCTATTTTGTTCCTAACAGATCGCCTTGTCAGTATTTGGACTTTACGTGTTGATGGATGAAGGAAACGTCCTGGATGCTCAGAAAATCTTTGTGTCTGTCGCAATCATCAACATTTTGAAAACTCCTCTGAGTCAGCTTCCCTTCGCCATGAGCACGGCCATGCAGGCAAGTCAACCAGCCACCTTTGAACCTTCAAGTCAAACTGAGTAACCCTCACCTAACCCTAACCCCGGATTATAAACTCAGAACTCTTAAACAGCAACAGTTGTTTTCCAAAGCATCATTGATCAACCTAAATGTGAGAGTTGACGAACAGTGAAAATGCTCTGCTGTCTCTTCATTTCTATTGGTTTAAAAAGTCGGTAACACTTTTTAATAACCATCATCAATAAAGGCTCATAGTTAATTAACTTTAGTTAATAGTTATTTCACTGTTAACAAACAATGAAATGATAGTTCATAATGTTTTATACTCTTTATAAAGTGTAAACCTTTAAGAGGTAGTTTATAAAACATCTGTCAATGGATGGCTTTTTTACAGTTGGAACTAAATATTAATAAGGTATTATCATTTTCAGTTCCAACTCTATAATAGTCATCCAAATAATGTTAACATATGCTTTTCAAAACCAATGATTGACATCTGCTCCATGTATTTCTGTCATGTTTAAAGATGTTTTAAGAACCACCTCTTAAAGGTTTACAGATCATTAACAAACACTTTATAAAGAGTATAAAAGGTTTGAATGTGTGCAGCAATAAACTGTTAACATAAAATGTAGCTTTACAGATAATTAGCAACATTATGAACTATCATTTTGTTGTTTGTTGACAGTAAAATAACCATGAACTAAAGTTTATTAACTATCGATTTACCCTTTATTGATGATGGTTACTAAAAAGTGTTACCAAAAAGTCACATGATCACATTTGTATTGTTCAGGCCATCATCTCACTCAGACGTCTGGGAAACTTCCTCTGTCAGGATGAACTTAAGCTTGATAACGTGGAGAGACTTCCTCAAAGCACAGGTGTGTGTCACACACACGCAAACACACACACCAGTCCAGTATTTGTATTGTTAGCGTAGCAATGTATTGTTAGTGTAGTGCATCATATGGCCTGGTCAAAATCAAATTCTTTCTTGGTTGGAAAACTAGTTTCAAAGTTTTAAGTTTCCAGGTTTTGATGGTGAATTTTAATATTTTTGAGATTCTGAAAATATGATCACTTACTTTTACTCCTGCTATAATTAAGTTTCTTTGCTTAATGTGCCAGCTAAATTGAGCAATGTGAACCATGTGTTAAAAGAAGAATTGTGTAGAACTATGCAGATCATGTGGCGCCATGGGGTGGGGGGGGAATAATGGTTAAAGGGTTAGTGGAGATTCAATGTTCTGCCTTCAGGTGGATATGGTGTAAGGGTCGAGGGAGGGACCTTCTCCTGGACCAATGATGGGCCGCCATGTCTGCAGAGGATCAATGTGAATATTAAGACAGGCTCCCTGGTCGCTGTGGTAGGCAATGTTGGCTCAGGGAAGTCATCCTTGCTGTCGGCCATGTTGGGGGAGATGGAAAAGAGGAGTGGCTTTGTGTCCATCAAGGTAACAACACAAAGCATGCATTATAAATATTCTTATCTTTATTTAATTGCAAATGGTTTTTAATAAGAAATTATTTCTTCAAGTTTAAAAGTGTTGGATGTTATTTTCAAAGGGGTGGAGCTAAGTAGAAGAACTATCAAATGAATGGACGCCATATTGGAGTGTGTTTGTCAGTTATTGTGATATATTCAAAGCTTTGTGTAGACACAACTATGACCTTTAAAATTACATTTCATCATCCATGTAATAATTTAGAGCGAAGCATTTTGAGAGAACTTTAAAAATATCTATTTTATATTATTTATTTCACTTCAAAAATAGCAAACCTTACTTTTAGCTATATTAAGCTATGCTAGCTGTGATAAGAAAGCTGCAAAAACACAACTCTGGTTCAGTTAAAGTTGTCAGACAGCAGTTTTGCTTTCTTTCGTCAGTAATTTAAATATCAGTCATCCTGCAATTCCAAACAGACAAAACTAAACATCCAAACACAAAACTCCTCAATTAACCACCTTGACCCTTCAATTAGAATATATATTTATAAAATCAAGAATTCCTCCATTAGTGCTTATGAGGTGTTTTTTATTTAACCATCTGTGATTGTTAATAAAGGTGATTTTGAATGTTGCAGGGTTCAGTGGCGTACGTCCCCCAACAGGCCTGGATACAAAACGCCTCCCTGAAGGACAACATCCTGTTTGGTGGAGACAGGAAGGAGAGTTGGTACCATCGAGTTCTAGAGGCGTGTGCTCTGCTGCCGGACCTCGACATCCTGCCTGCAGGAGACAATACTGAGATCGGGGAGAAGGTATCAACAGTGACCCCCCCACCAGGAGTCTGTGTGGTCTTTGCAATGGAGAGCGAGTCAGAATTAGGGGCTGGGGAGTTTGGGTAAGCACTGTAAAAAAGTGGTTTGGTTATTGATGAGGTATTTTCTGACTGCAGGGTCTAAACCTTTCTGGAGGGCAGAGGCAAAGGGTTAGTCTGGCGCGGGCTGTCTACAGGAAGTCAGATGTTTACCTACTGGATGACCCTCTATCAGCCGTTGATGCTCATGTGGGACAACACATCTTTGATCGAGTTATTGGACCAAGAGGACTCCTAAAAGACAAGGTGAGCCCGTCTGCTTCTTTGTAGACTTGTACCTGACAGACAACAGGGTCTGATCAAACTGTACCACAACTACTGCACTTCATCATTGTCTCCTCCAGTGCGTTACCATGGACGGTGTCAGTACTTTGGTAATGAACAGTTTTACCTGTTCTCACCAGAGGCTCACCAAAACATATCATGTCTATTCCGGCTGGTCAACACACCTTGAATTACCTCTATGGGCGGCTGTGTCTCAGTGATAGAGTCAGCCTTCACTCAACCAGAAGGTTTTGAGATTGATCCCCTGCCCCTACAGCTACATGACATGTCTACATGTCCTTGGGCAAAATACTCAACCCCAATTGTTCCCACTGCCTCATCAGCGGTGTGTAAATGTGTTTGAATGGATGAGATAATAGTGATGGACTCTTTAAAAAGCAGTCAGTGGGAATTTGTGTAAATAGGTAGTTGTGAAAATGTGGTGAAAAGCACTTTGAGTAGTCAGAGGGCTAAAAAAGAAACAAGCTCAAGATTCAAGACGTAATTGGGCTAATTTTACCTCCAGACTCTTTAGTATATCTTCAGAGGCCTAGAAACTTCTAAAGGATTGTAATGACCAGCATAGCAGACTAAGTACAAGGATTTACAGTTCTTTCTAAAAAGCATCTGCACCAAAGATCATCCAGAAGATAATTCCTGTCACCTCCAGCTCTCATCACCAAAACTGTAAAGTAGCAGAAATAGACCTGTGAACCTTCTACAGCTACAAGTGGGGATGAAATTCAGCACAACCAGGAAGCAAACTCTGAGTAAGTGTGGAAAAGCCTGCAAGACATCAGCTGTAGATAAGTAACTCGACAACCCATCCCGGTATAATATTGACCCATCAGCACTAAGATACAAGAGACCTGAGAACGGGAAACTGTTTTACTTCAACAGGAACAAGAGACCTGAGAACGGGAAACTGTTTTACTTCAACAGGAACAAGAGACATGAGAACTGGAAACTGTTTTACTTCAACAGGAACAAGAGACATGAGAACAGGAAACTGTTTTACTTCAACAGGAGCAAGAGACATGAGAACAGGAAACTGTTTTACATACGCTTTATTGTATGTGTATTGTAGTTTGTGTTGATATTGTTAAGCGTGTAGTTAGTTAGTCAGTAACATGTGCTGTTTTTTTTACAGACCCGGGTTTTGGTAACACACGGACTCAGCTACTTGTCTAAGGTGGACCTGGTCCTAGTGATGGACCAGGGTCAGATCTCTGAAATGGGCTCCTACAAGGAGCTGATGGACAGGAAGGGAGCCTTTGCCAAATTCATCCACACTTTCAGTGTAACCCAGCACAGAGAGAGCTCTGCCCCCAAAGACAAGAGTAACAAAGCACAGCTAAAATTGATCTATACTAACCCAGCAAACAAATACTTCTGTTACTGTTCATTTGGATCCAGATTAGATTCAGCATAGCCAGAAGTTATTATTCCTGGGGTTTGCAGTTTACATTGTAACAAAACATTTTACATATTGAAAATATACAAATGTATATTATTTTAACACTACAACATAATTCCAAAGAAATAAAGCAGGGGAATTAAATTACAGGAACTAAACTCATTTTGTGTTTATATATTTATTTTTTTGGCCTTGTTTTTTGTAAATGTCTTTGTAGTGTGTTTACATGTGTAATGCTGTGCGTGTTTATATGTGTGTTAAAAGCTGTCTGTTTATTTGTGTTGGCTTGTAGGTAGCAGGAAGTCGATGTCTCGACTCAGTATGACAGATTATTCCACCGATCTTTCTCAGGAGCAACTAATCAGGTAAGAACACAAACTACACACCAAGCAGGTACAATACAGACATTTATATATATAAACCTATAGAGACATTTAATTAAAATACTGGCATGTGTATCTATGTGTGTGTCTGTGTGTGTGTTGCAGCTGTGATATGGGCAGTGTTCAGATGATGGAAGCCGTCGATCTGGACGTTGAGGATGCTGGGAAACTGACCGAGGTGGATAAAGCTCACACAGGGAGGGTGAGTTGTGTTTTTATTCATACATTAAAATTAAAGTTTTTTTTAAATGAGAAAGTTAACCCATAGACCTACAGAGACATGGCAAACTCCCCCAGGATTCAAACCAGGACCCTAAACCCCCCTGCTGTGAGCTGACAGTGCTAACCCTCCTTCATCCTTTGTTGCCCCTCGTCACATTAATCTGATGATGAATTCAAAAATAAGAAATCACTGAAGAAGCAGTTTGACACATCAGAAACAAACATTAAGTTGTGTTGTTGAGTATTTTTAAAGGAATTAAAGAACATACTTTCATCATGAATTCAGAAAAGGAAAATAAATATATTTACATATATATATATTTCTGTCACTCTTCTTTAGATTTCTTCTGCAGATGTGTTGTTCATAGGGTGTATCACTTTAAATAGTTTTTTCTTCTGTGAACAGGTGAAGCTGCAGGTGTACCAAGAGTACTTCAGAACTGTTGGCCTCACCTTCATCATGACCATCGTCTTCCTCTGTGCCTTCCAACAGACAGCCTCATTGGCCTACAGCTATTGGCTGAGTCTGTGGGCTGACGAGCAGCCATTCAATGGCACGCATAGTGACCATGTGCTGAAACTCAGCGTGTTTGCCGCTCTGGGCTTCACACAGGGTGGGTAAAAGGTGTTCATGTTGTATTAATGAGAGTCAGACTGAAGGACAGACAGGACAACACAACATAGAAAACATAATATCCAGCCAGCAACACTCTTCTTATACATTTTACCATCTTTGCAAAATAAAAATACAGCTCCACTCGGTAATGATGGCTCTGCTCTTAAGGTGCTACTTGGGTCAGTAAAACATTTTATACACACCCAAAGCAATGGAACCCAACGAACGCATCAGCCAGACTACATGAAATATAGCATGCTGCAGACCTCAGTGGTCATGACATTCTTTTGGAGGGTCATTTTACCTCAAATCAGTGTGGCGAAACCCAGCCAACCTGTAAGAATTTTGTAAGAACTTCTGATGTCCACCTCCATAAATATTGTTGCTCATAGCCTGAGTGATTTTAGTGAGTCCTGGTTTAAGTTGTGATTTCAGTATGATGTGACAGCTCAGAAAAGCTGCTTGTATTTCATCTTTAAAATGTTTAAACTATATAAACATGCTACTTGGGTAAACACATCAATTGATTCGTCTGTGAGCTGTGTGATGGACTGGCCCATTTAAACCAGTTTGTGGCATCTGGATGACTTTACTGGTTTCAGGGATGGCCATGTTTGGAACGACGCTCGCCATTGCTATGGGTGGTATTGTTGCATCACGTCACCTTCATGCTGATCTTCTGCACAGCGTCCTGCACTCGCCTATGTCTTTCTTTGAGGTGACACCCAGTGGAAACCTCCTGAATCGCTTCTCCAAAGAGATTGACGCCATCGACTGCATGATTCCAGACGGGCTGAAGATGATGTTAGGCTATCTGTTCAAGCTTCTGGAAGTCTGCATCATTCTGCTCCTAGCCACGCCCTTTACGGGGCTGGTGCTCCTCCCTCTTACTTTTGTCTACATCTTCATACAGGTAAACGCTTCTGCTAAACGATACCATGCTGTCTTCAAGGTTCAGCCTAAACGTATGTTTCTTAAATTTCTTCATGATTTTGGTCTCCAGAGTTTCTATGTGGCTTCTTCGTGTCAGCTGCGACGGTTGGAGGCAGTGAGTCGCTCACCGATCTACAGCCACTTTAATGAAACGGTGCAGGGTGCTGGCGTCATCCGAGCTTTTGGGGAACAGCAGCGCTTTGTCCTGCAGGCTTCCCACTATGTTGACAACAACCAGGAAGCGTATTTTCCTCGCTTTGTTGCTACCAGGTTTACCTAATCTACTCAAAACACACACATATAATAGAAGTATTTTAATGTACTATATTAGATATAGAAATGACAACATAGAAATATGTTGTGAAAGCAGAACAGAAAAACAGCAGGAAAGAAATGTTTATACTTAAGCTGTACTTTGTTTGAAGGCCGATGTATTTCATACAGGTCATGTATACAGTTATGCAAATATTTTAGAATTTAATGTCTGTAGTTCATTAATTTGATCTCTTTCCGTCAGATGGCTGGCGGTGAATCTGGAGTTTTTAGGGAATCTGTTGGTTTTGGCTGCAGCCGTGATGTGTGTTCGAGGTCGGGATGAACTCAGCCCAGGCATCGTTGGATTGGCAGTGTCACACTCTCTCCAGGTTAAAAATTTGTTTTACTATTTTCAAACCTTTCTACTCAAATGGTTTAAAACATGGAAAGGATTCATTCAAATGATCAATTAGACATTTTTTTCTATTACAACCAACAAAGAATGTTTCTTCAACAAAAGAAAACATTTCCAATAAAGCAAATGCATTGACACAGTATTTAAAACACTAATTAAAACAAACCCCAGTTCAGAGATATTGACAGAAACTTGATGTATGAGATCCCCTAACCCTATAGCAACATAACTAGGAGCTGCTCTCTACCTGCTCCAGCCCTAAATGTAAGATTTTTCAAAAAGGACATTTTGAAGCCCATTCTTGAAAGTACAGAGTGTGTCTGCCTCCTGGACCCTGACAGGAAGATGATTCCAAAGGAGAGGGGCCTGATATCTGAAGGCTCTACCTCCCATAGTACATTTAGAGACCGTAGGTACCACGAGCAGGCCTGATAACTGAAGGCTCTACCTCCCATAGTACATTTAGAGACCGTAGGTACCACAAGCAGGCCTGATAACTGAAGGCTCTACCTCCCGTATTACATTTAGAGACCGTAGGTACCACGAGCAGGCCTGATAACTGGAGGCTCTACCTCCCATAGAACATTTAGAGAACGTAGGTACCTGGGTAACCCAACCCTAACCCTAGAGAATTACAGTAATCCAAACTGGAGGTAACAAATGCATGAATTACTTTATCTGCATCATTTTGCGACAGGATATGCCTGATTTTAGATATACATATTACTAAGGTAAAAATAGACTGTCCTTGAAATGTGTTTTATGTGAGAGTTAAAGGACATATCCTGATCAAATAGGACTCCTAGATTCCTAATAGTGGTACTAGATGGCAGTCTGATACTGCCATCTATGGTTTTGCTTGAAGATGAAATCAGAGATTTTTCTGCCCTTTTTGCTCCAATCAATTAGTTGCAGATATGATGTTTTCCCCTTGAGTCATATCAGGAAATGTTCAGATAAATTATGGTGTTTGTTTTTTTATGTGGTTTTTCAGGTGACAGGAATTCTGAGCTGGATTGTTCGATCCTGGACTGATGTGGAGAACAACATTGTGTCTGTGGAAAGAGTGAAAGAGTATGATGAGACACCCAAAGAGGTCTGCTGCTGTACAACATCTAATTTAAATCTAGCTCCTGGTTCAACAATTATGAAACTTCTTTATTGAATGTTAAGAATGTAGAAATTTGTCTTTTGTTTCCCCAGTGTTTTGAGTTTTTACTTTTGTTAAACAGGCAACATTGTTCATGATTTTTGATGATAAATCTGCCGATCTGATGTGTGTGGGACATTTATTGTATCCCACCAGGCAGCATGGACCCTCGAGGGCATTTTGCTGCCGACTGCCTGGCCGACCTCAGGAAACATCCAGTTTGAAGACTATGGACTACAGTACCGTAAAGGTTTGGACTGGGCTTTAAACGACATCTCCATCAACATACAGGACAGAGAAAAGGTAAGAAATTATCTGAGTCATCAGAAATATTCAGAACAAAGCTATAAAAACTGTATTAAAGAACACAAATTCATATGGAAACCTTTATGTAACACTAATGTAGTCAGTTAGGCAACAACTGCAGTTAATGATTTTTAATTGTGACCTGAATATTTATTGATTAAAAATCCAATGTGCAGGTCGGGATTGTTGGGAGGACAGGAGCTGGGAAGTCGTCTCTGGCTTTGGGAATCTTTCGGATTCTGGAGGCAGCAAAAGGACGAATCTTCATTGACGGGATCAACATTGCTCATATCGGCCTTCATGATCTTCGCTCCAGAATTACCATTATTCCCCAGGTCAATACTGCAGTCAGCTCCTCAAGTACTTTGTGTAGTTAGTGCATCAGGCAGTGAGCACTTCAGCTAAAAGTATTTTATACTTTGTATCAAGTACTTTTAGTAAACACTTGTGGTCACTGAAGCTGTGTAACTGTTGAATTATAGAATTGAATTAACCTTGTGTCCAACTGGGTAATAACACAAATGTTTCTTTGTGGTCACGTTAAATGTTTTACAGACCAAATTCTGTTCTCTTGCAGGATCCTGTTCTGTTTTCAGGTTCTCTCAGGATGAACCTGGACCCCTTTGATTCCTATTCAGATGAGGATCTGTGGAAAGCTTTGGAACTGGCTCATCTCAGTAGCTTTGTGTCTGCACTTCCACAAAAACTAAACCATCAGTGCTGCGAGGGTGGAGAGAACCTCAGGTAGATCCACAGAACACACCTAGACTAGAGTTACCATAACCCCCTTCACATTTTGTGAGAGGTGGATGTAATGAAGTTATTGACGGACTGATTCTGAGATTTATTTATTATTTTTAAGTTTACCCTGAAAAAAAATATTTCTGACTTGAATTTCATTTATTTTAAATTCTATTAATTGTTTATTGAAATTATGTATTTAACTTGTTTTCTTTCTGTAGTCTTGGTCAGCGGCAGCTTCTGTGCCTGGCCAGAGCTCTCCTGAGGAAGACAAGGATCCTGGTTTTGGATGAAGCCACTGCAGCTGTGGACCTAAAGACAGACCAACTGATCCAGTCGACCATTCGCACTCAGTTTAAGGACTGTACAGTCCTTACCATTGCTCATCGCCTCAACACCATCATGGATTACAGCCGGTACCATCTGAAAAGCATTTTTTCCTTTCCACCAGGAGAACAGTTGTCATTTGTTTTTCCATGTTTAACTTCTAGGTGAATATAACTGTTTACATCAACAGTTACTGAAAATGTGTTGTTTCTCTTTCCTCAGGGTCATCGTGATGGACAGAGGCTCCATTGCAGAGATGGACTCTCCCTCTCAGCTGCTCCACATGCACAGTCACTTCTATCAGATGTGTGTAGAGGCTGGTGTAGCCTGATGCTCATCTCCAATCAAACCAAAGACATTATCCAGATTTATAATGACTAACTTTCCGTTAGTTGTTCAGTCTTTCAAGTTCCTTAACATCAGAAAATCTGTTTGAGCTTGTTTAATGTTTTGCTAGTTTTTTTCTTTTTTACCACAGCTGCCTTATTCAAAAGATTAAAAACAATTCAAAATGAACAAAGCAATAACTTGTCTAAACTATACAGCTCACCTGAGAAATGTCTTTGTTTATAAGGGTAATTTTAAGGTCTGTTTTATGTCATAAAAAAATAATGTTTAATAAAAGAACTGTAAAATTATGTTACGACTGAGTTTTTGAGTTTGGACCCTAGGTTATAGAGATGAGGGTAGGTTAAGGGGATGGGTTAGGATAGGGGAAGGGGACCTGTCCCACTGTGCGGGAGACAGGAAATGCTCGTACCCCTGTTATTCCCACTCCCTCCCCCCCAGGAAGACCACTTATTGTGTGGTGGTGGTCTGTCTTCGGTACGGTAACGGGGGCAACCCTCTCGCCGGCCGCACTGTACCTTGGTCCAGTGGCCGTCTTAAGCAGGGCTCAAGATGGCCGAGTGTGTATTTTTTATTAAATACCCAAATGAATAATAGTTCATAATAATAATTTTTAATAAAAAAAATGAAAAAATTAATTTAGTTTTTAAAAAACTTTTTCAATCAAAATTCTCCCTAAATGAAATCAATAAATGTGCCCTCGCGCGACATTTCCACCGCGTCAGGCTTACACCCAATTCACACATAGTCCATGCGCCGCGGTCCATCAGCGCCACGGTTTTGCTCCGTCGGACGGCTCGCGCCCATTCACACTGGATCCATTTCTGGGACATCAGCGCAGCGGAGTACACCCATGACACATCACAGGAGAACTACAAGATTTCTTTCTGAGGATGCATTGTTGTTCATTCGGTTCCTGTTTTGACACCGGAAGTCCTCAGCTTTCGTTTTCTGACCAAGTCTGTGAACGATGTCCACCGTCTTTCGTAGTTGCTCAGTTGAGAGGGCACAATGTTGGACAGGATCTTAATCACAACCTCTCTGGTGTTTTGCCCCTCTTTTTCAGGCCCGCCATTTAGCCGTAATGCCCATCTCCGCTTATATCTTGCATGCTCCAAGCATGCTTCACGAAGTTCTGTGGTTTATTTTTGTAAAGTGGCCATCTGTTGCTTCAACTTGCCCACGTCTTTTATTATCCCTTTCAGGGCTGATGTGTTAGTGTCAGTTATTTTCACGACTGCTTCTGTATTTTTCTTTAGTTGCCACTCCAAGACTTGGAAGTATTCATTCTGAGTGTCAAATTTGCGTGTTAAACTTTGAATGGCATTATATATAACATTACTGGAAATGTCTTTCTTACTTTTTCGGGGTCGGGCTCTTCAACAAGGTGTGATGTCTTGACTTGATGTGGGTCTTGAGACATTATTTCTTCCTGTTCCATTATGGAATTATATCTGTGCCAAAAAAATCAAACAAAACTTCTTAAATGGCAAACAAAAACAAGACTTTGAGAGATATAATCTCACTGAAACAAAAAAATTGACTTGCAATTAAAATATTTGCGTAGTCGTGTAAATAATCAGCCTTTTACTTTTCTTATCATCAGTCATTTTGTTTACAGTTCCCTCTTTTTTCTTTCTCACTGATCAGACTTTTGCTCTCACTGTCAGCTTTCTCGTTTGCACTGCCTGACCTTTTGCTTGCGATTCTGGCACAAACCTCTCAAGCGGATGGGCTTTTTGAGGAATGCGTCCCCATTGGCTAATGAGTTTTTGAGTGAGTTTTTGAGTACCTTCATACTATGGCCTTTATCCACAACAGTATCTTTTACTCTACTTTAATATTGTACTTCATATTATAATGTGTGGTATTTGTGCTCTGCTTGTATTTTAGACCTAATATAATCGGAATGCATTGGTACTTTATTATTGTTTGCAGGAGGACTCTGTGGCTGAGGGGGTCAATCAGGTAGAAAGCCTTGAAGAGGGCTAAAGTGAGGACTATTCTCACATGGAAGATGTAGAGGCGCATGGAAGTGAAACTTGAACACTTGCTGCTGAAAATTCTGGCCATAGAGATTTTGTCATGGCAAGTCCCTTAAAAAATTTCAGACAATGCTGTCACATCACTTCTTTTGTGCATCAAACAGTTTATGTGGATACTTGGTAATGTCCTTTGTGTTGATTCACTCACCACATTCTCAAGCAGTATCCCAAATACTTTATTTTCATTGAGGAAATGGACAGGCATCGTCTGGGACAATTTCTTGCAGTATGTGGTTTGCCCAAAATGTATTGATGGTATACATGCTATCTGAAACCTATGTGCTCAGACGGGATGGTGAGAAGGTATGCAAGACGTGTAGCCACATCCCATTCTAAAAGCACCCACAGAAGAGGTCTGCTCTGAGGAGGCAGTGTGGCTCTGCCTTGCTACGGAAGGCAAAATCTTTGAGTGGCACAGAGTATGTCTATCCAATACGATCTTACTGTTACAACAGTGTTATACAGTCTCTGACATCACTTGTAAAAAAAACCTGGATTTAGAGAAAGATGTGAAGAATGGTCAAAGATGGAAATACCAGTGAACGTATTAGGATATGTATATGATGGAAAGGTATGGCAGGATTCTCAGTATGTTAATGGAGAGCCTTTTTTAGCAGAGCCAAATAATTTGGGCGTGATGCTGAATGTGGACTGGTTCCAACCCTTCAAAAATGCACCTTATTCAATTGGGGCCATCTACTTGGTAATTTTGAACTTACCTCGTGAAGATCGTTTTAAGGAGGAGAATATGAGTCTTGTTGGACTGATACCTGGCCCAAAGGAACCATACTTAAACATAAATGTTTTCTTGGACCCCTTGGTTGATGAACACCAGCAACTGTGGCATGTCATTGTGATTGAAGACGGCTCTCCCACGGGTTATCAGGTTTACAGAGCTGCTCTGCTTTGTCTGTCATCAGACATCTCAGCAACTTGAAAATGTGGAGGCTTTGTTGGGCATGGAGCATACAGAGGTATTTGAAATATTCATGGCCTATTTACCTGTCCACCATTGTGTCTTTTTTCTTGAATTTCACAGTCTAACTATGTGTGATTGTAACACATTGTATTTATTTCGTCTTACAGGGTGCCACAAGTGTTTGAAGACATTCACAAAGAAAGAATTTGGTGCAAAAATGGACTACTCTGGATTTGACCAATCTTCATGGGTGCCACGTACATCAGTGGAACACACACACTATGCTGGATTATCTAGGTGGGCAAAAACAAAGTCAGAACGGAAAAGAATTGAACATAAGTAGGGAGCAAGATGGTCAGAATTTTTCCGCCTGAATTACTATGATGCCATTTGATTTTTCATCATAGATCCAAATCACAACCTCCTTCTTGGAACAGCAAAACATGTATTCCGATTTTGGACAGAACATGGGATTTTGACAACAAAGAATGTTGATGATCTTAAAAGTAGGGTGGAAAACATCAAAGTGCCACATGAGGTTGGAAGAATTCCATCACGAATTGCATCTGGCTTTGCAAGTTTTACAGCAGATCAATGGAAAAGCTGGACAACCACTTATTGTGTTCCATCCCTTTCGCCAGGGACTGAGGCTCTGGGCCTGGACCCTGAGAGGTCCAAACTCTGCAAGGTGCTCGTGCCCCGCCAACGAGGGCGCTCTATGGTCACAGATGGAGGGTCTTTCTGGCATGGTGCAGGGAACATCAGGTAGATCCTCTGGCATGCTCTGCACCGGAGATTCTGCAGTTTTTGCAGGAGCTTACTCTATTTAAAGTCTTAAAATCAATTTCATGAAATATTAAATTTCTGTATTATTTAAAATTTAACTTAAAAAAATATATTTTTTGTCTGTCCGTATGTTCACGTCAACTGTTACCGCTGTTATAAAACTGCATTAAATCTCCAAAGTGTTCACATAAAACGCATTTGACCAGCGCACAGTGATGTCACTTCCTGTGGCGGGAAACCTCTGGAAGACAGTGAGGTCCATGTTTCTTCTTTCATTATTTAGTAATATGTTGAGAAATCATCAACAGTAGATTAATTATTTCTCAAATCTGTTGTGTTAATATTCTGTGATTATCTCAGTAAATTGCAAAAGTATATATATATGATGAAAATCTATTCAATTCGGTTTTAAGAAATGTTAGCTGATATCTGGTGTGAGGTTAGCATATGGAGTAAAAGTACAAAACGGTGGAAAATGTCAACTCTGTTACTGTCAACTCTGTTTATGTTTTAAACAATTTGATTGTAACAGAGTTGACGATACGTAACAGTCACATTTAAGTATTTGGCAATAATTTATATTATTGATTATTATTATTGACTATTATTGATTCTAGGTTATTTTACTGCAACAAGTACATCTGTGTTATACAATTTCAGGATAAGGAAGTGAGTAATTTATCTTCTAGGGAGATGAATCTTTCAGCAGCTGAAAGGCAGCGGCAGTACAGGGCCCGGCGAGATGCCGACCCTGAAAGGAAGGCAGAAAATTTGAGCCAGGAAAAGACAGGAATAGATGGAAGAAAAGGAGAATTGCAGGGCATGCAAGCACGGTTGCAGAGTTTGGTGAAAGGGAGAAAAGATCAATGCGCAGGTATTGGAGTGCAGAACAAGAAAGCTGAGACTTGTAGAGATGACACCACCACAAAGTCCTGAACCAGCCCCTGAACAACAGACATCCAGGTTAGATCAGTGCATATGTCCATGATTCCATAATATTTTGAGTGACTGCACAGTAACTCACAGTAAGAATGAAAAAAGGAAAATACACTTTTTGAAAGGAAAGGAAAAATAATTGAAAAAGGCTACTAATATCACTTTTAATACAAATGTGTTTTTATCATTTCAGACAAAAGCGGTCAGGACGAAGAAAAATAAAACGGGAGAAGACCAAATTACAAAGAGAAATAGAAAAATTAAGATTTTGCTGAAAAAGAAAACAACTGCTGTCCGAAAATACCAGAAACACATCCAGAGATGTCTCCCCTCGATCAAAAACATGAAAACAAATTCCCTGCAGAAATTCAAAGAACTCTCCTTTATCACAACGATAGAAAATATAAGAAAGAAGTATCAAGACACAAAAGAAGAGAGAGTGCGTCAGATGATATCACGCATTGTGTAAGGAAAGATAATAAAAACTACAAATTACAGAAAACAACACAGATCTCACTTGGTTTTTCAAGAAAGCGGTTTGGAAAGAAAAACCAAAGGGACCTGTCTTTTCAAAGAAGAAAATATAGATCCAGACAAAGGGTG